TTCCATGTTTGGGGTGATGCAGGAAGGGTTCAGAGTGATCGGAAAATTGCGTGAGTGGTAAGTGGCTTGTTATTGTGATGGGATGTTTGCATGGCTAGTGCGGTTTGTTGCCTGCTGATTGCTGAAGAATTCCCTGCATTGAGGTTCATGCGTCCAGCCTTAGATTCAGACTATAGCACCGTTAATTACCTAGTCGTAGAAAGTCATGCGCGTCTCTAATTAAATCCGATAATATAACCGTAGATCTGCAACAGTCAATATCTGCATATTTTCTGGCTGATCTCTGAATGCGAGACATTGGGCCTCAACCCCTGTCAATGGCTGAGATTTTGCTCCAGCACTGGGCTGCGAGATTATCGATGAATATGAGATGTTACATTCTATCTTGGGTTGGTTTGGTTATCTTTACATATTCGCATCTCGCATCACATATACCTTCCGCATTGTCAAAAACCTCTGATGCATTGCTTGCAACGGGTTCCCAATCTCATTTTCTGCACTGCGACCGGCACAGCCGGCCAATTTCCCCAAACCCTGCCTATATCCAGAGCCCGTAATCCACAAGGGTTCAAGACACTCACTGTACTGTAGAATGCCATTCCGCAATTCCGCCCATATATTTTGCCGTAGTAAGTCAGATCATGATCGATAACCTTAAAAGAAGAACAAGTGGTTCTAAGCGAGTTAAATAGCTTGATCCATGGAACTAAACTGGCCACTGACAGAGAAGCAGAGAAGCACCAAAAAAATAACATTCCGTGACTATCATGAAAATGCAACTTTGAGCCGGGCCCAACAAATTTTAAAACTGGAGTGGCGTTTCCCTGCAGCCACCGATCCCGTAAATGCACGTGGCCTCTCCCTTGCAAAGTCAATAAGCGACGTCGATGGACGGGCATTCCCAGTCGATCGAGACTTTGTTTCGCGTTTATCGACCCATTAGACGGTTCTCCTCTCACCTTCTTTTATGTGCGGAATTAACTCGAGGCACATGAGAAAAAGAGGCTTCAGCCATGACATGATTCTGCAGCGTAGCTCCCGAGAATATGCGTTGCGGACAATAGTTTGTGTCTTCTCAAGGGAGGGAAATTTGCGCATTTCGCTTTGACCACGAGTTATTACTCAATGCTTAGAAAGACCAGGATGGGATGTCAGCGTCTTGGAATCATATTTCCTTTGAGATATGTTTATCCGTGGAACAGTAATGATCTTCAATTCTCCACAAACAATGCAATGCCATCATTACAGAAGAGGAAAAGGGTATAGCAAATATGAGGCTCCCAATGATGATCAGTGCTCGCTTCGGTCGTAGTAAGGGGAGAAGTAAAAAAATTAGTCAGTCCCAGGACCAGGGCCAGGGGTTTGGTAATCTGACGATCTAGCGATTGATAAATGTTAGTGCGCTCGAGTCAATACACGGCTCATTCGCAAAAGCAAGCACGACACGACAGAAAGCATTGTCAAATTGATACAAGCTTCAACTGCCGATTGACTATTTGCACTAGAAGCTGCCTAGTTGTGGGCGCTCAATAGTCCCCGCACGGTAGAGAGAAGCTACTGATTCTAGTTCAGAGTTGGGCGTCGACACTGGAATTCTTGACTGATTCAAGACAGGTACGAAGACGAAACTCTGACACGGACTCGGTTGCAGGTGGTGTTGCAAGAGTTTATAGCGATACAGAGCCAAGCCTGTCAAAGACCGAAGCCAATCGTACAGTAAAATGTGGTGGAGATTTTCTCGGGGCTGCTAGTGATTTGTTTGCCCAAATTGGGACTTGACATCCGTTCCTCGGCTTTCACATCAGCTTAATTTAGTCTTGGGTCTTGGGTCTAGCGGTAGTTCCGTCTGTGGGTGGTTCTAGGTCTTAGCCACCAACGAAAGCACCAAACGAACGGACAGGTCAGGTCAGGCATGGTTCCACAGAGACAAATCTGTTCATCTGCATGTCTCTCCTCAAACACGCACGATTAAGCTAATTCCAGGGGTTTCGAGGAGAGGTCTCTTGCCCCTCCCGGGGGCGCTCCCCGTTCTGTTGAACCCCCGGCGAAGCCCCAAACCGAGGCATATCTCGCTGATCCCGCGAATAGCATGGCTGCCCAAGTGTGCAGATCGTATGGACTCCGCTGCGAGATGAGAGAAAAGCCAAAGCCAAGTTGAGCGACGGTGGATTTGGTGACGCCGTACAAGGGCCGTAGGACAGAATTGGCCTGGTCCCGACAACTTGGGTTCTGTAGATCCCGGTCCCTTGGTGCGCCGTAGAAAAATCCCATATATCTGCGACGAACTCCTTGCGGCCCGCATCTGCCGGATCCTGGATCCTTTCGTTTATCGTCAATCATTGTTGCTTTTCTCAATATTCCTTTTTCTTTTCCCCTTTATTCCCATATGATTTGAGCGAGGATAGAGCCTGGCTTCATCGACAGTCATGTCTGTCCCCAATAGAGGCCCTGAGCTTCAGGCTGTATGCTATACTCTTGCCGTTTCTTCAGTGATAGCAGTCGTGTTACGTATCTATGTCCGTGTGCGCATGGTCAAGAACTTTGGATTGGATGACTGGTTCATGTGTAGTGCTCTTGTAAGTCGCTCACCTCAACGACACCCCAACATCACGACGATGCATCAATTGATCAGACTATCCATACTCGATATCTGATACGATAAATCTTCACACTTTAATGACAACATATACTGACCATATGGCTGTATAGATCACATTTCTCCTATTCGTCATGTCGGCCCTCCTCGGTGTGAAGCACGGCACAGGTCGACACAGAGACGACCTCGACCCTCATGACTATCAGCAAGCAATGAAATGGTGGTGGTGGTGCTACTTATGGTTGGATGCCTCCAGCTGAACTTTGTTTCCCATGCTGATCGTCCATATAGGTACTGCGTCACAATGATATCTTCAAAAATCTCAATCGGCTACCTACTCCTCCGCATTACTACTCGAAAACTCGACGTATGGATCCTCTACGGCGTCATGGCCATTACTGTCTGCACCGGAGTCGTCTTCTTCTTCGTCACTCTCTTCCAATGCTCGCCGATCTCGTACTTCTGGAACCAAGACCAGCCCGGAAAATGCGTCAAGCCTGAGGTCATCATGGCCCTCACCTATCTGTACAGTGTGTTCAGTGTTATATCAGACTTCACTTGTGCTATTCTACCAATGTTCTTGGTGTTCAAGCTCAACATGGGAAAGAAGACGAAGCTGGCTCTGATTCCCATTATGGCTATGGCCTGCGTGTTGGTATACCCTCATTATTACAAGAGACATCAGCTCACACATTACAGGGCAAGCGCAGCCGTTGTCGTTCGATTCCCTTTCGTCAAAGATTTCAAGAACCCAGACTTCTTATGTAAGTCGCAACTCCATCTCCAATCATGATAAATCGTGACTGACAAACCCAAACAGGGGCAACAATCGACATCGCCATCTGGTCAACAACAGAACAAGGCCTGGCCGTCACGGCCGGGTCTTTGGCAACGTTGCGGCCTTTGCTTCGATTACTCTGCCGCAAGCTTGGCATAACGACATCGGGACGGTCTGAGTTGCGAGACACTGATCAGCCAATGGGCACGGGGGCATTCAGGCCTTCAAAGGGAACCAACGGCAGCGGCAATAAGCATCGCGATCTTTTTAGCCTCGCCACATTCGCAAGGGAGGACGACCTGGACGGCAACGGGCGAGACGGCCAGGCAGCTTACGCTGGGGAGCACCATTTCCAAAGTAGATCGTCTGCTGAGAAGGGAGTCTCGGCGTGGGGGTCGAGGGACAATGAGAGTGAGGAGGAGTTGACGGGACAGGTTGGGAGTGATAATTCGCGGATCGTCAAGGTGACAACCTTTGAGGTTCGTGAGAACAGGATTTGAAAATCGTACCAGCACAGGAATAATAATGACGGCATTGATATTTATAACGAAGAATAATACTACTTGATTATAATTTACAGAAAATATGTTGCAGTGAAACGAGGATGAAAGTAAGTTATTTAAGTATTTGGGCTGACCTCCATATTCTCTCCTGTGTTGTGTGTTGTCCAAACTCAATCTACAATAGTGCCAGTGACGTCAAGTCAATCAAATTCGTTACAGGGCGGCTCCAGCTTACAGCTACTGCTCATAAGCTATACCAAGTTAAGCCGACTCAATTGCAACATCCATGACCTGGGCAAACCCTCATGTGTCTAAAATGCACCAAGATGAGCTCGCTCGTCTAAATAAACGCACCACAACGTTTCACCATCACGATTGACCGCCATGTTTCGGCCCGCAACCGAGCTCAAAATCTTGTTTTCCAGACATCAAGTCCAATCGTAATGTATCTTGACAGGCCAAGTTACAAGTCTCGGCCCCCAATGGAGAGAGAAACACACAAGCAGTATAGATTGGATGCTGCAATATCACGTAGCAGGCGCTTGTAAATCGGCGTCGGAGCGGTTCATAACACCATATGCAGTTAGTAGATGCAGTCTTGGCCAAGACGCGCTTCGCTTATCTGCACCGCGAGAGAATCTCCGAATTTGATAGCAAGCATGAGGGGCCTAAACCCGGTTGAACTGGTCCATTTTCAATGCAAGTTGGGGTCCAAAACTGCCGTCTCTTTGTCGACAGTTGGTTCAGGGCTAGGAATAAAGATCAATTCCTGCCTCTTGGAGATGTCAAAGTGAATTCTCTTATTGAAGTCACGTATGCGAAGCATGATCTGTCAATTCAGTATGTCTGAAGACTTCTTCAGTGCCTGCATCTTAATCTTTCATAACGTATCGTATTGTTTCTTGCTTTCGTGACATGCGTTTCTAAAGACGACTACGTACGTTGTGTTCACCGACAGACGAGCAATGCCTGCAAATCATGATAGTAAAAATCCGGGCCCGACTCAAGTAAACGATATTCAAGAGCTGAACTTCTTTAACCAAGACTGAAGTACAATTGTTTTCTGAAATAAGCCGATTTGAGAAAGAAATTCCGGTGGTACACGCACAGACATATCCAACCATCACTTCTTAACTGTCTTGTCACGAAGACCAGAAGCTCGAGAGCCTGGAACCTTTGACTTGCTCTCGGACCTGTTGACTTTCTTACCCTTCACCTGCTTCCCTTTTGCCACGCGTTTCTTGACACCCTGGCCTGTTGTTTTCCATGCCTCCCGTTTCTTGACATTCTCGATGACCGGAGTGTGTTTGGCAAAGTCAAGCGGGTCATGTCGGGGAGTATGTGTCATCTCAAGCACCTCACACCACTGGTTCAGGAGTGGTAAGTATGGACTCTGCTCCTGGCTCGGATAGCGCCTATCGCGAGGTCGGAGATTTCTCGTTTGACTAGGGAGACGGTAGGCTTGGAGCCAGCAAGTCTTTCTTAGGCCTTTAGTTCCAGGCTTGGCATCAAGGAACTCCGCCAGGCCGATATCCCAAGCATCAATGACATATTTTTGGAAGCAATATAAATCCCAAGCGGCCAAGCTCTGGAACGTCCAGCGTGGCTGCCAGCATTTTCCTAAGCCCAAGGGATCTGGGTCTGGACCAAACGGGTGAGGGACAGTGGACGCCATGCTCAAGTCGACCAGCGTGCCGTTGACATACTGGCGATCAGATAGGTCCAGGACAACTATCCCGTGCTTGTGGAGCCCGTGGAGCCCCTCGAGCATACGAGGGAAATGGGAGACCTGGACCACCTGTTGATACAGATCATAGGTATGCCGGTCATTGTATTCCACCTCATCTACCCAGTCTTTGACTATTCCCATGCTGGGGCCATTGTCCATTCCGAGGAACCATTCCAGCTTTGCATAGGGACGGATCATCTTAGACCTCGCAGCCTGTAACTTCTGGTCAATGGCGTCGGTAAGGTCGAGGGCGACATAGCCATGAACTTTGACCGCGAGGTCCTCGCGACCGACTTCTTTCAATCTGCCAAAAGCCCGGCACTCGTTTTCGAATGGTGTAAAATGGGCATAAAATCCTTTACAGCATATAAATGGGCCTCGTCCCCCCTCACCATACGCTGATGTGTAGGGAGGTTGGGCGAAGGGTTGCTCCCAAACAAACTATAGTGCGTGCTGTCAGTATCTCTAGCTCTCGTGGTGGACGCCGCTGTCATTATCTTGACTTACGAACTTGATAGAGTAGATCTTGTCTCCAATCCTTGTCTTGATAATCTTACTATGTGCAGCAAAGTCGGGTTCAAGAATCTTGAGAAATTCCACGTCATCCGCCTCAAGGTCGTGCTCAAAGGGCTCCAGCTTTGGGCCTTCACAGTCAGGTAGCGGTTTGAGAGGAGGCATGACCAAGGAAGCAGGCAGGGAAGTATGTTGATTTCTGGTGAAAGGATATTACCAAATGGCATTCAAGGAAGTTTGATTCACCTGAAAGGAACTCAGAATGAGAATCTGCTACCGAAAGGAAGAGGGACAGGAGGAGGAGAGAACAAGTCAATGAAAGCATGGACAGTGAAACCTACGTAAATTCAGAGACGTGGCTCAATAAAAGCAAATAAAGAACAGACTGTCACGAGCTATGCACGGTCCAAGCAAACAAATTGTGGCTTTGAATATCAAACTTGTGCACAAAGAACAGAGAACATTGACCATGTACAGCATGTAAGTAAAACAAGACACCAGCACTATTGGGACCAAAGAGTCCGTCTGTCCCTAAGGCTAAGGCATTATCGAATCAAAACGACACTGTCGGTTTAGATTCATTAAACTTTTATTCCACACATCCATGTTTGTGTTTCCTGACGTGGTGTGCCACCCCAGCCCGTTTGTAGCCCGCTAATTACAGGACGGAAATCAACGTTCAACGATTATACGTTTGTTGAATTGTAGCTAATGGAAGTTAACATTATCTCTGTGTATTTTGATTTTAAAGCCATTTCCAATTGCCCCAGCTAGAACCTTTACGTGAAAGATCTTGATCGGAGTAAGGTTACAACGTCTACCATGATAGTAACCTTTCGAGTATCGCCAGGAGGGATAGAGAGAGAGAGAGAGAGAGAGAGAAAGAGAGGAGGAGGGCTCTTCGTTCACTCTAATATGATCAATCAGATCTGTCTAGCCGCTATGGGATGCACGAACCCTTTTCAAGTCTCATATTGGCATTATAGCAAGGCGAACAGATCACGTACCTTACCAGACCCTAATAACCGAATCTGAGCTGTCAAATAACTTATTTGTGTAACGAATCAAACCCATATGTGCAGGTCTATTGCGTTCTTTCTCCTAAAGGCTGGGACTAGCTGAGGCCTTACTGCACTCTCTTGTTACGGTGAGGAAGCGTTCTTCCTGAGGCTCAATCTTCTTAATATCCCTCCCTAACTCTGACGGGGAAGGGTCTTGGAACCAGACTACTATCAGGTATAAAACGACACCTTGGACCTGCAACACCACTCTTGACTGAACTCTGCTCTCCATCATATTCCACGTTCATCGAGAATCATCTGAGCCTTCCTGCCCAGTTTCATTTCCCCTCTTTGGCTTTATTGGCGCTCCTCATAGTGACAACTCAAGCGAAACATCGATCAATATGGATCAGTCATCTATCCTCAGTCTCCTGTCCACCAGGAACCCAACACTTACCAACAACACCAGAGTCCGGTCTTTACATTTGCCTACAATGTTTCCTATAGCCCGTGAGAATATAACTCGTTGGAACGATTTTGAGCTCATCAATATAAAAAACGCGTACGGAGATTTGCTGAGCAAACCTTCAAACATCATCCTAGGGCAAGGAGCCGACAAGCATTTCGGAAACCAGACCGAGCTCCGAAACTATGCCTTCGATTCATTAATTTCCGAATTGCGGCCTCTTGTCTCTGAGAGCGCGCGTGTGCTTGGCCAGAGACTCGGCTTCGCTCCCACCATCGACTATCTGCAAGATGCGCCTTTGGCTGGTCCGCAAGTCGTTGGGAATGCTCTCCGTCCTAGCCTGTCGATTTTCGCTGTCACGACTCCTCGCACAAATCTTATCACTAGCATGGTCTACATCTCAAGCTCCTGGTGTTCCACGGATATTGAAACCGATGGACGACAATCTATATGGCCTATCCTGCATCTTGCGCACTACGCCCAGTACAGTGGGACTCGCTACAGCTTTGCGATGACCGACACGGAAGTAGTCGTCATTCGTTTCCACTCGCTGGATGGGGGGGCACTTGGCGCCCAGTGGAACGCGATTCCACGTAGTGCGTGCGGCGAAGGAACACTCACGATCAACCTGGCCCTATGGGCTCTCATCATGATGAGCATGAACAGTCAACACCGCTCGGTCGTCGAATATAAACGAACGATTCCCACCAATGCCTGGTCGGCGCACGACGGTTTCTATTGCAACCGTCTTTCGGGACGCCGCCTCCTTATCTCCCAATGGGGGCTGTGATCCTGGACCAGTAGATCTAGGACAGGCTCCATGACTTCGTTGCCGCTCTTCATGGGCTTCAGGGTGTGAAACTTTCATGTTTTAATTTCCTATGTTTGGTTCATTCTGTTTGGGATAGACTGGGGAGATGGAAGGGGTCAGATTGTGTAGGAGATGAAGTGTCAGCAATGTCGTACAGACGGGATGAAGTTGATCAACATCAGTTCAGTTCAGTTTGGTTTAACTAAGTTAAGTTTTGGCCCGGGAATGATCCTAACTTCGCAATTTATTACACTTGTTTGCCTTTACGGAGTACATCTTAGATCCATCTCCGTCGTTGACAAGAACACAGGCTTTAAGCACACACTTGCACGAATGGTTCAAGATATCTACCAACACACATTGTCCATCCTATACAAGTAATTTATCACTGATCCTACTGTTAAATCCCCGTTCACAGGTGCGCCAGGTATGTCTCTCGAGCATACGGCATACGTCTGCGGGTTTCAATCAAGGGACATGTGAGCTTTGACGCACGCTACAAAGCCTCCAACGGACCCTACCTGCAGGCAACCGCGCCAAGTATACAGCTGAGTTGAAGGCTCGATTGGACCGTTTATTTGGAGAGATAAGTGCTGCCGAAGGGATGATAGCCGACCACACGAATCTACACATCAGATTGGACCATTACTCAATAACCCCAATCTTGAGCTATCCCTCCATCTACAAGCAAGCCTCGTTTGAGGCCCGGTTAGCTCAATCGGTAGAGCGTGAGACTCTTAAATGAGTACACCATCTCAAGGTTGCGGGTTCGACCCCCGCATCGGGCTGTTCCTATACAAATGATACGATTGATCTCTTTTTTTAAATCCTTTTTGGTTCAACTTCAGATCCCAAGATGGGATATAGTTAGTTAGCTCTGTTTATTTTTTAGGCATGTCATGTCATCTGTTGGTGTGAGGTCCATCATCCACTGCGAGGCCTTCAATGTTCATCCATTCATACGTTCATTCATGAAAGTTATCATCAAATGCTGGTGTCGCCAGTCATTGCATCTTCCACCGCCAGAAACATTTGTCCACTGTCTTGAATCATCGTGGTCCAAGCTCCGATACCTCACATAATAAACAAGAGGTCGGTATCTAAAAGTGAATGTCAGCAATTTGTTCAATAGGGACAGGTAAGAGAAAAGACAGGCTTACCGATCGGATGGCTACTCGACAATTGTGGCTTCTGGGTATACTTTGTCTCCAGGATGTCGCGAATACTGTTGAGCAATTCGACATAGCTCTGCTTAGGATTTGCCTTGATTGCTGAAATGAATGCCCACGACATGGCGCCTGTGGCCTGAGCATTAATCGTGGCGTCGGCTCTGCGAAGATGTTAGAATTGCCGTATGAGAGAAGTTAATTAACTCACGATGTCTGGTCATCTTTACTTCCTGACCACATAATAACATCGGCAGGCGATGTTCGCGTGTCCTTGGTCTTCTCGTAGGCATCGTCACCTCGGAAGGCGGTCTTTGCCAAGCCGAAAACAGAACCAGCGGCGCCCGCAATATCTCCACTAGAGTATGCTCTGAAGGCGTCGAAGAGACCTGATGCAGCTTCCTTGGCTAGGTTGGGTTCTTTGAGAACACCCTTTGTTGAGTAGACGTATGGGAGATCCATGACCGTGGCTGAATGGCACGAGTCAAAAATGGCAGTGAGACGGACACCCTGTACTAAGGGCTTCACGACTCGGAAATGAATCTCATCATCGATGATGGGACCAGCTTCGGTGTGGTCAACGGGGTAGATGCATTCGTCATATCCGTCATCCTCATCGCCATCCAAGTCTTCGACCTGACCACCGTGACCTTGAAGAGAATGTTAGACAGTTCGGTTCAAATAGCCGCACACACTCACCAGAGTAGTGGAGGAACAGGGCATCGTTGGGTTGAGCGTTTGACACAAGCCAACCCATGGCGCGAATCATGTTTTCCCGGGTGGGAATCATGGCAGGGTTGGATTGATCATCGGTCAGAATGACCATGTCCTCTCTCTTGTAGCCATATCGCTCAACAAGGAAGGCCGACACGTTGTGGACATCGTTGATACAGCCTCGAAGCTCTCCCTCCTGGTTGAAGTAGTTGATGCCAATCAGAAGAGCCTTTCGGCGACCGGTACAGTTGGAATATTGGAAAGTATAGCCTTCGGGAGCTCCGTGACCGAACTGTTGGGGCGTAGATGGAGGAGGTGGACCGGCTCGAGCGTGCTCAGCATAGTGGTGCTGGCCTTGTGGGAGACGATAGCCGTATGCGTCAAGACCGGGAGGAGGAGGGTATGACGGAGGAGGATATCTCTGACCTCCAGAATGGCCTCCAGAATAACCGCCGTATTCTTGCGGGGGAGGAGGAGGTCCAGGAGGAGGAGCGTATCCGTAACCGCCGCCGCCTCCTTGATATCCTTGACCTGGGTAGTAGGACATATTGATCTGCTGTATGAGAAGTGAACTGATGCCTCGGGGCCTGCAACAGTCGACGTGGAGAACTGAGAAAGAAGAAGATGCAAGAGGGAGCTCGAGAGATTCGAGGCTTAGTCGCAGAGTAGAAACAAGCACGTATGGGTCAGCAATCAGAGCGCAGCCTCACCTCAGTCTCACAATGGAAATGAGCTCGCAACTGCAGTTGAGCTGCATTTGGAGGACGGGCGCTAATTGTGAGGCGGGGCAAAGTGATGGAGGGGCACCCTAGTATGTATGGACCTAACTCGGGAGACGCGGGCCTGATTCACCAGCCTTCAACTCCCCTGAAAACCCCCTGGAAGTGACGGGAATGAACGCTCTGGAGGCCGCTGGAAAGAGAACCTCCCTCATGACACCAATGGATGGAACGCCAAGGGACCTGGATGGCCTTGGCGCTGCAAGAGCCCCTCCCCCTCACCGCAGCATCAGACGTGGATGTGTTGAGGACGAGCCAGTGAATCATTCATGGACGTCAGAAGGGAATAAGATTGTGAGACGACATGAAACCTCTCATGATTTCGGGGACAAGAGAAGATCCATCACCAGCCACCGGATGTTATTGCCTTCATCATATACATCACGGGCGGCCTCTCGCCTCTCGTGGTGGTGACGCACGCAGTATTATATTGCCGTTAGATGAATGTTTGCTTATGTTTTGATAACCGCTCTCTCATAGGGATGCAGGCAGCATATTATCATGACTGCTTGCAGCTTTGCTCCGCCACGCTGGTGTTGCAACAACGTACCCCATATTCCTTCATGCCAGATACCCTGGCTGCCCTAACTAAACCGATGAGGATGTGCGGACGTTGTAGTCTACGGAGTAGAATCGAAGAAGACCAAGCTAGCTCCTAGCTTAGTAGGTTGCTAGGTTCCATGTCATGAGAGTTCTAGGCGATTGTCCGTAAAGCCAGACGAGAATAAGTTGGATACTGCTTCAGTTGACTCCACGCCACTATTAATTGTGTGGAGATATTTCTCTGTGCCTTTTATGTCGCAATTGAACAATGCCAGCATGAACTTTGTCGTCGATCCTTTAGGTTGGTTCCTCGAAATCATGCCCCAGCTTATCCGATACGTTGACAAAACAAGGCTCGTCAAAGCCAAACATGAACGAAGCTTTCGTAAAAAAAGGTACCAAAGCTTGGAGCTGGTGACATTTGACACCAGAGCGTTGCCCCGCCGGAACGGCCCGCAGGGGTCACTAGAGGTCCACTGATTGGCCACGTCGTAGCATTGTCACTGGCTAATCCCCGAAAGCTTGAGGTTGGATGTTGAATGGAGGGGTAAACGGGCATTGAACGGGCCTGTGCGGCGGCTCTGAATCCTGCCCTGTACTGTCCCTTAGCTGACTGTTGTGCCTGTGGCTTCGTGGTGCGATAGCATCATATCCGTGCCCCCCGTACCTGGATCACTCTCTGCCTAACTGCAAGAGGGCCACTTTTACACAGTGTTCCGTATTCACTGAGATATTTCCTTTCTTAGTAGTGACTCAGTCAGTGAGACCCTACGTTTCACCCCACCCACCCATGCACTGTCGGCATCTGCCAAGCATGTCTGCCGACTGTCGATAACTGCGCGGGTTGCACCTAAATAGGTACCTTACTCTTCACAGTTCGCACCTCATACCTCAGGCCTTTCGCCATTATATAAACAGAACCCAGTCGCTCTTTTTTACTCCCTCGTCTCTCATCTACCTTATCTCTTTTCTCCTTTCCCTCACAAACCTTGATCCCCCTAACTCCGACTTCGCACGCCTTAGTCCGAAGTCACTCATCATGTCTTTCTTCAAGAAGATTGCCAAGGAGTTCGAGAACCTTGGTATTGGCGACAAGGACGAGAAGAAGCAAGAATCTCAGCAAGGCTATCCCCAGGGTCAGGATAGTAAGTTTCTCCCGCAGGAGCATTCTCTCAAAGCATCTGCTAACTCTTCAACCCTAGACAACCGAGCCTACGGTGACGGCGGCCAACAGTACGGCGCTCCTCCTCCTCAGCAATACAGCTCTCCTCCTCCCCAACAATACGGTGCTCCTCCCCCTCAGCAGTACGGCGCTCCTCCTCAGCCTTACGGTTCACCTGCTCCTCAGCAGTACGGTGCTCCTCCCCCTCAACCCGCCTATCAGCCTCCGTCCGACCGCCCTCCTCTGCCCCAAGGTTGGACTGCCCAGTTCGACCAGAACCAGCAGCGATGGTACTATGTTGAGACAGCCACTGGCCGCACTCAGTGGGAGGCTCCTGGTCAGGCTCCTCCCCCTCCTCCCCCGGATTCTCGTCCTCCCTATGAGTCTCAACCCTCTGACGGATCTCGTGGTTACCCTGGTGCTCCTGGTGGATATGGTTCTCCAGCTCCTGGCGGCTACGGTGGTGCTCCTGGCTATGGCGGTTACGCTTCTCCTCCCCCTGGTCAAGGTGGTTACGGATCTCCTGCTCCAGGTGGTTATGGATCGCCTGCTCCAGGCTATGGTGCCCCCTCTCCCTATGGTGCACCCTCTCCTTATGGCGCTCCTTCTCCTTATGGAGCCCCCGGTCAATATGGGGCTCCCGCTGATGGTGATCGCGGCAACAACCCCTACGGCCAAGGCGAGAAGAAGAAGAGCGGCAGCTCTGGAATGCTTCTCGGTGCCGCAGGTGGTCTCGCCATTGGTGCTGTTGGTGGTGCCCTAATCGCCAACGAGCTCAACGACAGTGACAGTGATCATGAGCACTCTGCCGCCGCCGCCGCTGCTGCCCCTGCTGCTGCTCCCGCCCCCCAGGTTGTCAACAACTACTACGGAGCTCCTCCCGAGGATCCCTATGCCGCCGACCCTTACGCGCAAGACGGCCCTCCTGGGGTTCTTCCTCCTACCGATGCTGACGGCGACTCTGTCTCATCCAGCGACCGAGAAGATGTTCAAGAGGCCCGTGAAGAGTACGAAGAAGCTCTGGCTGCTGCTAATGACTCAGATGCCAGCAGTAGTGATCACGAGAGACTCGAGGAGGCTCGTGAGGAGTACGAAGAAGCCTACGAGGAGGTGTATGAGGACGACTAAATGGTGCAAAACGAGCTATGAATAACGACATGTTTACGTCTAACTGTAACAGGATTGCTTTAGAGCCATAAGGGCAAGGAAGAAGGTTGATGGATTTGTCTCACTTGTTGATACCTTAGTACACAGTACAATACCAGAGCACATTTCGTACTGCCTGACATATGGAGCGCATCCTTTTTTGTGAAGTTTTGCCAGCATCATTCCCGCGCATGTGCGTTGAATACCAATGTCTTGCATTTCTCAGGCATATGCACGGGCTGTTGTTGGACCACGTTAGAGATGCAGGAATTACAGGCTATTACTGTAAGTAGAAGCCGCCTTCGCTTATCGGCATTGGGCCAAGAACTGCAGACCCTCCATTGCAGGGTTTTTTTGCTGTGTAACGGTAACCCATAGTCACTCGACCTGCAACCAAACCACGGTACTTTAACATCAGGTATGCAATTATTTTATAGTATATGCGCCTTGAGGGGGGCCTCATATGTTGTAGGACATGTTCCAGTCTCAACAGCAAGTATTTTGAGTCTACGTGCAATGCAGAACAACAGTTGAAAGAACGACAAAGAGCGAACTTCCGAGGTCAAGGATGGATGAGTTGTCCGTCTCCACGCTTGGCATTACACGATAATGGCGGAGCGTACATTGCACAGCCCCCTCGACAGATTCTTGGCAACCAAAAAAGTATTATACGATTCTGAGTTGTTTTTTCCTCAGCGGGCGCTCGCTGGACGTCGTTCAAATTCTCACCATGTTGTAATGCAACGGTGAGGAGATCACTCGGCACAGATATTGCCGGCTTGACAAGCTTGTTGCGGTCAAGCTTTTGTAATCTTGGAAAATAAGCATTCGTTGGAAAGCTTGTCGTTTTTGCTTATTTTTTTGGGTTGGAGGTTTACAAGGGCTACGAAGTGGTGAGCTTGGCATTGATGCTGTGTTGTCTTGTGAGATGAGGGTCTACAGACTGGGGATATCATACGGATGATGGCCAAGACGGCGTAGGTAATAGGATTGAGTTAGACTTGATTCGTTAACGGAATAATAGCAATCTTTGCTTGCTCTTGATAAGTCTCTCCATCTCAAGTCCTCTTGTAGATGATCAGGCACATGTTGACTCAAGTTCTGTCACCATGTTGAGCATTTGAGTATGGCCATCAAAAACAATCGTTCAGTCTCATTTCTCAATCATAGGATATAAACCTTGAAGCCTAGTAATGCTGATTCTCAAAACAGGTCTCATCCAATCCCGAGCATTACTCATTCGATCCATCGTGCAGTCCTCCGGGTATCACAAACATCCTTCATCGAGCCCTTCTATACAGCCCTTTCCGTCATGATGAGGGAACAAGGGCTTACTTCTCGTTGTTCTTCTCGTCCATGCAGATGCACAATGCTGCCATGAGAGCCATATCGACACCGGGCGCAACTATGAGAGCATATGTCTGTTGGCCAAATAGCACATCGCGACCGCTGAGAAGTTTGCGATCGATACGTGCGACCACGGTGTTTGTGGACTTGTCAAAGATGTCGGCGGCATAGTCGAACCAACTACCCTTCATCTCGAGAACCTCTGCTGTGCCATCAATCGACTTGAATGTGGCTGTAGCCTTGGAACCGAGGACTAAAATAAATGTCAGAGAGAAAGAGCATGACTATCACGGGGAAAACGCACGCTGGAAGCTGCTCTTTACTTCCATGAGTTTAAGACCTCGAGGATCTTCCACAACATACGTGGTGTGGATATGAAAGTGCTCTTTGACGATGGAAAAGATATGGTTGCCGTTCATGTCGTAGACCTTCTTGCGCCCAGAGATGCTCATCACCTTACCCTCCACCTTAAGGATAGGTTGGCCATTGGCAAGCTTAATATCGAAGTTATCGCCACTGAGAGACATAACCTTTTCTCTGAGGACAAGAGTCTCAGTCTGATTGGCGATGAAGCTCGGGAAGATGCCGACCTGATGCGGCGCGGTTTGAAGCTGAGGGAGTGTCATTGTTGCTGTTGAGATAACGTTGATGGATCGAGATGATGTTAAGTTATAGTCAAAAGGAGGGAAAGATGGAGAGTGGTATGACGCAGAGATAAGTTGGGTGTTTCATTGAAGGATCGCCAAAGGCAAAGGGTATTTATAAAAGTTGTACCAGCGACAAATGTCACATGGAAGTGCCTTGAGCTGAGACAGAGATGAAGGCGCTACAATCAATGGTGGTAGCACCTTGCCTTGCGCTTGCCAAGGGCTGATCACCGCTAAAGGGAACTGTCCTGGAGCAAGGCATAATCTGGCGAATAGCGCCTCAGATGAATGAATGTGGCAGTGAAGGGTGCCCATAAGGCTGATTAGACCTTTGCATGCATCTTCAATCTATATATTTTCACTGAGAATGACATTCAAGAGAAGTCTCTTTTCAACATGGATTCTATCATTAAAAATTGTTATTCAAGGGTAATGCATCCAATCTCCGTTCTCAACTGACGGCCCCCAACGGTACCTACGTCATGAGGTTGGCAATTCATTGAAGGATACTGATATATATTCCGTGGATAAACGGAAATGGAATTGATCACGGGAGGAACTCGTGAGACAAGCATCTAATTCGTCAATCCGCCCCTACGGAACCTTTCCAGTCGCTATCGGCATCCAATGTTAGTGTCACAATGCTTGGCTAAAAATACTCCGACTGACATGAAGATCAGTGGGTTTTGCGGCTGTGCTTCGATCGCCAGAAGCACATTCATTGTCAATCATGAACCCTTCTCAATCATAGCAAAGGTGTCAGGGGTGTGCAGCTACTTCATATAACGGGAGGCAGCCAGATCACGATACATTTCATCAAGGTAATGAACCCTTCATACAATGACCCAGCTCAAGCAACTAGAGGCCGCCAATCGTCAACCCGCGAAGTGTCTGGACATAGCACCACCAGACGCATGAAACAATCACGTGATTAATTCAACAGTCTTAAGGACAAACTCGGTCTGGTGGTCTAGTGGTATGATTCTCGCTTAGGGAAAACCCTATAGCATAGCTTGCGAGAGGTCCCGGGTTCAATCCCCGGCCAGACCCTTTTCTTTTGCTCTCTCTGCTCTCCATGTTGTGACTTTGTTCCTTTTTGCTCTGATGCTTGTCTTTGTGTTATCACACCTGAGTTGGGATGAAGTACGCGGCCCCACTTAAGCTACGGGCCAATTAGATTTGCGGGGATGAAGCCTCAATGAAAGCCGTTGTAAACCGTTATCAGTCGGCAGAGTCAACAATGAATATAGCACGAAGGTTCTAAGAAAAGTCACGCTTGCTCACGAAGTTAGAAGAAAATAGAGTCAACCATTGTCTATCCTAATCTACCCATAACTAATACAAGAAATAGATCTCGGGCGCGAGAAAAAAAGTCAAGACACGCAATGGGCGTCATTCAACCCACGATCCATTTAGGATATTTACAAAGCGAACAGGGCGAGGAAGGCAAGGGCGACAGTGGAGACGCCGAGAGAAGCAGCACCGTTGGTGATGGTGCTGGGAGTCTCAGCAGGGGCAGAGCCAGACTCGGAGCCAGAGCCGGAACCAGACTCAGAACCGGAGCCAGAGCTGGATCCAGAACCCTCGGAACCAGAACCAGAGCCAGAGCCTGAGTCACTACCGGAGCTGGATCCAGAGGTAGGCTTAGAACCAGAGCCAGTAGCGGTGGCAGTGCCAGTAGCTTCCTCATCATCATCGTCAGAGCCGCTAGTAGCAGAAGCAGTAGAGGTGATGAAGGTAGCGGTAGAGTTAGAACCGTGGGTAGGCTTGGAAGCACCAGACTCGGTCTTGGTCTTGGAGTGGACGGCAGAGCTGGAGGTCTCCTCATCATCGTCAACCTTGTCGCAAGAGAGATCGAAGAGAGGAGTGGTGGAGAGGTTATCAGTGATGGCGAACTTCATCTTGTTGTCGGGGTTGGAGTCGCGGAGAGTGTACCAGAAGGTGGGGGTCTTGTTGAAGAGGTACTTGCAGCCAACGTCGCGCCAGTACTTCTGAGCGTTCTTCACACTAGGAACAGCCTCATCCCAGTCGGGACCCTTGTAGGGCCAGCCAGTCTCAGTGACCCAGACAGGCTTGCCACCAGAAGCGGCGATGGTGGCCTCGTACGCCTTGTTGAAGAGCTTGGCAGCGTTGTCGATGCTGTTACCCTTGTCGTTCTCATAGTAGGGGTACTCATCCACACCGATGAAATCGATGGCGTCGAGGACGGCCTTGTTGGTAGCGTTGCCCCAGACGTCCCAGGTGTCGACGTGACCGACAGGGATCTTGCCAATGGGGGTACCCTTGAAAGCCTTCTTGAAGTCGTTGATGAAGTCAACGAGGGCATCGGGCTGAACACCGACACCACCCTTGTTCTTAACACCAGTAACAGAGTTACGGTAGAGATCCTCGCTACCAACGGAGACACCAATGACGAGATCGGTCAGCTTGGAGCCGTACTTGTCGACGGCCTTCTTGAGGGCGCTGATCTCCTTGTCGATGTTGTCTGTGCCGGAAGTCCAGACACCGAGAAGGATCTCGGTCTTGGTGTCGATGGCAGCCTCGAAAGCCTCGATGGGGTCATCCTCGGAGTAAGCCTGGATGTTGGTGTAGAGTCGGACAGCGCTGAAGTCACCGGGAGCGCTCTTCAGGTTCTGAGCAGTCTCGAACTCAGCCTGGAAGTCGGCCTTGAACTTGGCGGCTCGGTTGGCGAGGGTGGCACCAGAGTTGAAACCGAGGTAGTTCTTGGCCTCAACGCCGAGGGCAAGGGCACCAGCAGCGAGGGTGGCGGAAACCTTCATGTTGGCGAATATAGATTATCGATTTTCGGGTAAGTGATCGATATGTGGTATAAGCAGGTTGGTATAACGTCGAGCAAGGTCACACCAGCCGGATGCTAATTCTATTAAAAGAGCGTGAGTATGATTATTCGGAAATGGTAATCAAGAAAGAAGCCGTTCTGGCAGTTAAAAGAGAGTGACGAGGAAGTAAGAATGTCGAATCCAAAAAGAGAATTCCGACAACAAAAAGGAAATGATGAACGGATGAAAAAAAGATGGGAAGTTGATCAAGAATGAGGAAAGGCGCTTTGTTTTGCTCTGGAACGCGGTGAGATTAGGTAGGGGCGGTTGCAGCGGCCCTGGAGCCATCACGTGCCTGACAGGCACTAAGTTCCCGGTTTTTCAGGGGAAATGCTTACGACGCTGGCCCACTAGGTTATGGTTAACGTGCCGTGGGCCGCTAAGAATAGAAGGGCATTTCTTGGAGGTGTGTGCTCATTGGACGTCAACCCCAGCTTCTCCTGTTTCGCACCCAAGGAGTAATTTTGCAATATGCGTGATCGTCGATAAGACAATCGAGATGAATGTTGCTATTCTTGAGAAATGAATATCATAGCTCTTTTTTCGTATTGCGAGATTTGATGTTACTGTATCGTTTATCTGTCAAGCCTCTTCCGCAACTCTCCAGACAGAGTTCCAACGGTGCCCTTTTCTTGAGAATCTGATTTGTAGTGGCGTGGCTTATGCAAGGAACAATGCAACCAATTCTTGAGAACGGATGGAAGCTAAAACAAATTCAGTGCATCAAAGTTTATCCTTGAGCCAATCTCCAATGCACTCAAGATAAATAAACGGGGATTTGATTCCTTGGTAGCCAATCTCTGTATACGAAGCCAAGAAGGGGATTTAATTTGATGTTTGAAGTATATAGAATGCGACCAGCTGTATTCACCGCTTGAAACCCTAACTTTCTTTGTTTCGATGTTTTTGAACTTCAACCTCAGACTCTCTTTGACGCAAGAAGCAATTCTTTGTAGTGGCGAGCGAATTCCTTGGCACTTCAAGCGCTAAATTAGCTGAGGCTGCGGGTGACGATGGTGGGTTTAAACTCCCCCTTGAAGTGGAGAATACGATACATACTTGGGCTTGGCTGGCACGGCTTTGAGGCCGATCGATCCGTTCCTGGAATGGGATGGCTACCTACAGATGATTGATAGGTGAAGTCAACAAAGGCGAAAGAGGCTCAATTGAGTTATCCCTTCAGCATAACAAACACTCACGGTCGGCTATACAGTTTGATCAATATGCGTACCCAAACATTCGCATGTTTATCACGTGTTGTTAAGATTAGGCGCTGATCCAGGATCTAATGTCTCACCAAGACATTCCGCCATGACTTCGGTTGGGCCTTAGTTCAGCATGGTTTCAGCCCGCCTATCTAATGGTTATCATCATCAAGAACAATAATATTGTTGATCAAGCAAAAGGTATCGCTAACTCATGACATGGCTCCATTCACAGATCGTCACGTCACATGAGGCCTCCAACTGCAAACTCAGCACTCAATCTAGTGCTTCTCAGCTTCAGGCTTCTCGTGCGCCATGAAGACCTCATCCTCATTAATCTGGTATTTGGCAGACTTGCGTGCCGGGATACCCTTCTGGAACTGTTCAAATTCGTTAGCTGCGTTCTCGGTCCTCGTATTCAGCTGCTTACCATGTAGTCCATCTCACCAAAGGTACGGTCCTTTGTTTCGAACATACGGAAATAGCCCCAAGTCAGAGTGAGAGTGGCGAGACCTGCCCAGAAGAAGGCCTGTAGCTTGTTAGGGTTCCATTGACGCTCGTATTGATTGGGGTGGACTTACAGTCTTGCCCTTGAGGTTCCATGATCCTGGAGACAACATCTCGGGCTGAATGAGACCTCCGCAAATGATGTTACCAACATAATATGTCGAACGAGCCAGCACAATTGTCTGTGTACGCAGACGAGTAGAACCGATCTCAGCAACGATGGTGTAGATGATGGGACCGACAGACATGGAGTATGCTCCCAACCACACAACGCAGAGGATTGATTGCGCCCAAGCTAAAGACAGAGTCTGCTTGGGCAATGCCAGGAAACCGATAAGCCAGAGGATCACGACAAGGAATGAGAAGCCAGAGAGCCAGATCGTTCGTCGACCGAACTTGTAGATGTAGAACCACGAGATGATGGTGCCAACGAAGGCGATGCCAGTTCCACCAAGAGCAATACCATAAGAGGCAGAGGGACCAATACCAGTCTGTTGGAAGAAGAAGGATCCACTGTAGCAAAGGGCACCGCCGTTGGTAATCTGAGAGAGGAAACCCATGCAAGCGATCTCGGTACGTCGGAGGTTACTACCGCGGAAACAGTCCCAGTAAGAAGTACCAGAACGCTCCTCAATCTCAAGCTTGTTTGTGTGGACCATAAGAGCAACGGCATTCTCGTAATTGATGTTGTGTTCCGGTTCGGACAGTCGCTCTAGGGATACTTTGGCTTTCTCGAGCTGGTTCGTTCGGACAAGATGCCAGGGCGACTCGGGGGCAAGATACGCTGCGATGGCGAGAGGAATAGGCCATACCCATTGGATCGCAAAGGGAATTCGGTAGCTCCATGGGGTAGGGTTGTCAACAAGACCCTTGAGTACACCAGCTGAGATGAACTGTCCAATGCACCAGCACAGATTGACATAGGCAGTGAGATATCCTCGAATAGCAAGAGGAGTGACCTCAGCAGCGTAGGCGGGACCAGTTGTAGCAAAGATTCCCCAGGGGATATTGCAGAGGAATTGACCGACGAGAAGGACCTCGATATTGGGAGCGAAGAAGACGACGAAGATGAAGGCAGAGAGCCAGAAGAGACCGCTGATGAGAACCTTGCGGTGTCCCCATCGCGAAGTAGCCCAACCGTTTAGAAGAGCGCCGATGATGTTGGCGAGGGCACCGAGACAGTTGAAGCGCTGCTGCCAATTGGCCGAGATCTGATGTCCATTCTCCTTATCGAGATATTCGCCGTACTTCTCTCGGAATCGTGGGTAGCCGTAGAAGGAACTAAGGAGGGTAACATCGTAGCCTTCCATGATGACAGTAGTCGAGATGACTGACAATGTCCCGTTAGCTATCTCAGCGACAACGAACTAAGGGTGAGAGCCTACGGATGGACCAAAAGGCAGCCCGCTTATAAGTCTTGAAGCCCTGCCAAACGCTATAGCTATGCTCATCAGCCGTAGCTTCAAGAGCTTCATTGGCGAGGGCTTTGTCGTGAAGGTCTACATTCTTGAGATGGTCAAGACCAGCATCGGTGCTCTCAATATGGGGCTGAATCTCCCCGGTCTGCTTTTCGGCAACCATGATGATCAGATTTGTCGCTTACCAGCAGCAGACTAATTGCAAAGAGGTTTGAGAGCTCATGATGCCTTTCACCGGACATGAGCATGTTATATCGTTCATCCAGGTTCTCCTCATGCAGAGATGATCCTCGAGGCCGGGAACCGGTTCACATCGCCGTAGAAATAGGATCGACGGCCCGTGTTAGTGAAGCTATCTCGTAGTTGATCTTCCCCGCCATTGGTGGAAGATCCTGCGGGGGAGATGTTGGTGATGGGGATGGAGTGGTCACCATCGATCGTAAGTGGACCGGATAAATGACTTGACCACTAAGATGCCAGTCTCCTCCCCAGCTTCTTCTTCCTACAGAGGTGGGGAATCTGGGGTAGCTTCTGGGGGATGGTGGTGATCATCAGATGTCTTGGTCTAGAACCTTGTTTCTCTCTACGTCGGCCGACGTTTTTAGACAGGAATATACCAAAAACGCAAGCCAGAACGTCACTTCTGTCATTTATTATGGTCAATCCGGCTAAATACGACTCAAGCAATCCTTCAGAAACAGTTTGAAGCTTCTGCATCACAAGATGGCTGACACCCAGGAACAGCTCTTCCTCGGCTGCTACTGTACCACACCTGGACGATCACAAGCATCGCGTGATTCGTGAAGAAATTCTCAATGCTACGACACCCACTTATATGTGCCTATATGCGATTCGTCTTGTCTTAAGCTTGACCTATATGCCTTCAATTAAGGTACCACGCTCATGAGGCTTATCTTCTGGAAGCGATCCAAATTTGACAATCCTCCCCCAAATGCAATTGGGGGTTTGTCGTAGTCTTATTCTTTTGCTCTCTTCTCCTCTACTTTCGGCCGCCCGCAAGTAAGCAGCCACTTTTACCTCCTCATCGATGGTTCACCATCTCTTTTGTCTCCTCATTTAACCATTTACACGGTTAGAACCGCCTAAATCCGTCTCTTAGCAGTCGCAAGTTCCCCACGCTTTGAGGCACAAGGATGAGGTGGTTGGGTTACACCCATTCACTCAATGCACGACTGCGGCACTCACCAACTCAGGCTAATTTGGCTTGGCAAATCTATCTTCAGGCCGAGCAAATCAGAAGTTCTTTACACTAAGAATGCTCAACACAGACTCAGAGATGCAACTCGGTCGATCTTGACCCGAGACTGTGGAACCAAAGTTTGAAGGCAGCCATCGAACCATGCTTAACTGGCCATTATTTAAGGAAATAGACATCAGGTGAACTGTCACCCTGCAGTAGCCTCTTGATTTGTTTCATGCATTCTGCTTTTTTGAGGGGTTTGATCGGTTGACGGGTTACATTGCCGGCGGATCATTCTGCAAGTTTCCGAATAAGCTCGAGCCTCTACAGACAGACGTTGTCCCCCTCATGCCCATAGTTCCTGGCCTTTGGCTACACTGAAACGGAATGATAAATAACCTTTATATCACTTCCCAAACTCCTCAATCGGAAAAGAACCTAGTTGAGACTGATAACCTCAACATTTCGAACTTGAAAAGTCGTCGCTGTGACGCAGGAATCAATACACGCAGAGACATATTCAAACTGACGGGAAACTTACGTGTTGTGGGACCAGGTGATCCAGAAGATCCTTCAGTCTGATAGTTGACGATCCTATGTGATCATTAGCATAAACAAACCATATAATGTCATGAATAAAGACTTACAGACGTAGACCTGCTCCAATATAGTCGCGTCCATATTGTGTAGTCTGCTCAACACCATCGAGGAAGAACTTGACTCTCACATCGTGACCATTCTCATCACGCAATTCAGCACGAACGGAATGCCACTCCTCAGGATTAGGATAGTCCCTATCTAGCGCGGTAACCTCATCAGAAGTATTGAATGTGTTGAAAGAAATCTTTCCAGAACCTTTCCATTCGGCAATATCAATTTCAGGAGGCCATCCACTCGCAGCGTTGAGCCAGAAAGCAGGCCACGTTCCTCTGTCAACCGGAGCAATGAACTCGGCGCTGATATCATACCCTCCACCGGGAGAAACAGTGAATGTTGATTTAGCGTGAATTGCCCCAGAAAGATAGTGAATGGGGTCTTCTTGGTCATCTCGCGGCTCGGCAGTTAGAGTGAGAACGCCGTCAGTGACGGAGACGTGCTCTTCGTCCATTCGGGCGCCGCCATTGTGTGTAGGACCCCAAGGATACAGGTAATTCCAGTATGTTTCGAGAGAGTTGAACGAGTCTGAAGGAATTTCTGTCGTTGCGCGTCGTTCAATTGGTGGTCGCAGAGCAGAACATGATGCTCCAACGCATTGGAGCGCAAGGAAAAGATCTTTAAACTGCATACTCTCAACGGTTGAGTACAGAAATGTTCAGAATTGGAGGAACCGAGGTTGAGGACGTATTTAAATACTGGGTGAGCTGCTATGCAATTATTTTAATGTCCGTGAAACAGGAGTAATGGAACCCCGCCGGGAATCCCGGGATGTTGAAACAAGAACCTGCATTGAAGATCACCGCGAAACGAAACGCATGGATAAACATTAAACGCACCAACAAGATGTCTTCATATGGCACCAGACTCAATATGATGATTCAATTATACAGGAAAGCCTGTCAGGATCCAGAGGTGTGCTTAATTCCACCGAAAGACAACCCATGAAAGAAAAAGACTGAACACCTTCCCATATCAACCAAAATCAGGAGTATAGCTAGGCTGTGAACGATTTTCGAATAATTACAGGCATATTATCATAACGGAAGCTTGAGTGTATTATCGTGAGGGTGGCATTGATATCACAACTGAATAATTATTTTCATAAGACTATGCCAAAGCTGCGGCTTGGAGTGTATAAATCGTTTGTGAAATAAAGAGTTCTTGTGAATTTTCACGGCCTATAAAACCAGAAGGGACTGTAATCAAACAAGGGAGTTCACATAGTTCTCCAAGTTTGCATACCCATTGGATGCAACCTTCATACCATCCGAAGCATCATTGGGATTAAGACCATTCTTCGTTTCCCACTCATCAGGGATACCATCACCATCTGAATCCTTGAGGGCAGCACCGTTTGCAATCTCACCAACGCCACCAAATTCCTTCTCATCAGATATCAATCCGCCCTTGGTTCCATAAGATTTGACCTGGTTGATAAGGGCAGTATCGACACTGTCCCTATGCAGCGAGTTCCCAACACCTTTGAGGACGAATTCGACGGCTGCTTGGGGTGAGAGAGCATCAGGAGCTGGATAGTTGTATGGAGTTTTGACAAAATCTATGTCCGAGTAGCAACTGGTTTTCTCGCAAAGAGCAGCGCCATCAAGCTTGCCGTTGCGGTTGGAGTCGTAGAAGTTGTCCTTGACATCTGCGAGATATAGTCAGCAACATAATCTTCTGAGAGGAAAAATGGCTTACAAGCGTGGAAGTAACTGTTTCCTCGGGTAAAGGCTGTAACGGTAGTATCCGGACCAGAGATGAAATAGTTGTTGATGATGTTAGCATAGCTGTCAGCTTGACTGTCTCCAGCAATGTAACCGCCACCACCTCCCCAGTTATAGACGACCTGTACGACAGTAAGAAAATCGTCCAGCAACATACCAAATTTACTCACGTTGTTCTGAAAGTCGTTAACACCCTTGACCTTGGGGTTGCGAGTCTTGTTATCAATATACAGATTGCGAAACAAGCTAACTCCGCCATCTGTCTGCATCAAGCCACCACAAGAGTGCGAAACAAGACCCTGAGCAATGATAGTGTTCTGGATGGTAACATTCGTGACGTCTCCATTGATAGAAAAAGTCTCATCACGGCCCCACGAGACGCTGACGTGGTCGAAGATGATGTTTTTGCCGTCTGCGATACCGATGGCATCTTTGCCTGATGTTCCGCCTTTGCCCATACGGATGGTGATGTATCGCACGATAGAGTCATTGGCGTTGGAGAGAGACCAGCCATTGCCGTAGACGACGATTCCCTGGTACTACTTTAGTTAGTGAAATAGGCAGTAACATTGAGACTTACACCACCAGGAGCAGTTTGGCCGGCGATATAGATGTTCTTAGACACGACGATACGTTCAGAGATCTTGATAACTCCGCCAACGTCAAACACAACAATTCTGTTGGGCTTCGATACCGCGTCTCGAAGCGAGCCCTTTCCAGAGTCACTGTTCGGTTTCGTTAGACACTTCATATAAATAGGAAAAGGAAAAGAGACATCAGCTTACTTGAGGTTTGTCACTTTGTATACTTCACCTTGACGACCACCAACTGCAAACCTACCAAAGCCCTCAGCTCCAGGAAATGCAAGTTGAGCTGCTTGCGCCACCGAACTGGCCGTCAAAGCGAGTAGCAAGGTAAACTTCATTTTGCTTGAGTACAAAAATATTAAGGTGACGTGCTTCAAGTGTACGGGCAAGACGGGGTCTCTCATCATTTATGTACAACAACCCCTAGTAGAACTTGCAAGGGGTTTCAAATATCCTCCAATGACAGCATTCGAGTCACGAACAGGGAGCCGAATTGCAGTGATGCAGCGATTGGTGGAACCATTTAACAACTATTGTTGCAAATCCATGCCTGTTTTGGCGGACTGCACTTTTGGACGAATATACATGTTAGATTTGTATCACACCGTCAAGGTGAGTTCCGAAACTTGAAAATGTTAGTTTATACTAAGATAGAGATGTCCTCATCTCGAATGTTGAGTGTGGCAAAAGCTGCTACCTATCTCATGCATGGTAACTCAATTGTTGTTCTCCCCCCTTGCATAGGTAGCCAAGACACATAACAGCCTTGAACGTCAAGAAGCAGCGCTTAGTGTTGGTTAGAACCGTCAAAGTTAAGCACTAATGAAAGAATGTTATTGTGGATGTGAAATTGTCAGGTCCTATACCATGATACTCTTTGATATCAACAGCCTTAGCGGCGGTTCATGTATTTATACCCCACGAGATTCATTGGAATAAGGGTAAGTTTCAGATTAATGCTGGACAACCACAAGGTTAGAAAGAAAGAAAGAAAGAAAGAAAGAAAGAAAGAAAGAAAGAAAAGTTGGAACGCTGTATTTTATGAAGCTTCCCCTATACTAAGTATAGACATAACAAGTTGACTATCATACCATGGATCTCTCCCATAACCCTCATTCATCCAAGCGCTTTTTCCTTTGATGTGATAGACTGTTTGAACTAGCGCTGGTATACGATACGTGTATTGCCCCTACCGACCTCACAGCGCAAAACCTGCTTCAAGTTGTTTAAAAATTGTGTTCTAACCGGAGCATGGAGTAATTCCTCCCGGCGGTAGAACAGGCAATCCGCGATCAGAGTATGGGTGAATACGAGCTGTCGCCAACTGTGGCTCTGTAATTGCCCTGAACCAGAGATTGAGAGGGATTACACTCTCTTCGGGGAGGAGAACACTTTGTTCAAGCTTCAGACTCATCATGATCAGAGTCCATATCGCCAAATTAGCTGTCAATGTGTCCTCCCCCTCTGTGTCGCATGGAATAGCCTTCTAGTACACTCCCATACCCCCAACTTTCGTCTTAAAGAACTGCAGGACGACAATATCTTTATCCCCCAAGATGAACGCAAAAGAAGTATTGGTCTTTTTTGCACAGGTAGCCAATTGCTCGACAGGACCAAGCTTGGGTGGTTTGTCAAGATCCGCGGTGGCGAGGAAGCCTGACTCCCATGTGCATGAGGGTACGGCGAGGCTAGTGGCGAGAAAGGGGTGCCAGTGGTCTTCAAAGGTCTTATTTGTAATGTCGTCATATAGAACTGTGTTGCGGTCGTAGAAGACGTAAATGGGGTGGTATGTGCCGCCGAAATCCAAACTCTGAGCGTGTTTAGGGACTTCCTGACGCAGGTGCCTCACATCAGAGCATGCCAGATTCGTAATTGTGCCGAATCTCGCACAGAGGGCGTTCTTGCCTACTTCGAGGGGGAAACGAATTGCGACGAGTAATGACTTGCAACATTTTTTCCCCATCGTGTCATGATGCTCACAGTTGAATTCCGGCACCTCATCCGATGGGTTGTGGTGAATAGTCTTTCCTAGAACATCATTGTAGGCATTCACGATGTTGGAGTATGTGAATTCGGACCATGGTTGAATCTTGGAGATGTCCATCGGGGTTCTTTCGAAGGCATTGTCAGGCAAGTGTTCGAAATTCGGGGAGACGTTGACGACGGGTCCTCTCTTCCCCAGGAAGGAGCCAATTTGTGGATGGTCCAGCTGTAGGCTCATGTTGGGTTTCAGAAGCCGAATGCTCTGGTTTATGACGAGAGAAAACAATTAGAAATGAATGGATGATCCTTGAAAGAATTCAATGTGAATCTGATGATTGTGAAGCTGATGATTGTGAAGCTGATGATAGTTTTCTTGGAGTGATGATGATGAAGAGAAGAGACGACAAGAGAAGAAAGGACCAAATCACCTTGAGTGCCTACCTCCCTGATGCCCACAAAACGCCGGGCACCTTTCTTCTCAAGTTTCATATACCTAAAAAGGAACACTGCAATCCGCTGACCCTGACTTCCTAGAATACGCAGTGGCCTTCTTTCAAGCAGGCAAGATTTTGAACAACCACCAAGGCTTGAGCCTTTTGATTATAGGTACCTCAGGTAATTTGAGAAGTTTGCAATAATTGCACTCATCCGTGAAGGTATCTTGGACCTGACGGAGTTTTGTGGCATGAATTTAGGAGAACCACTCTGTTGGACATAGTCTGTGTTGGTAGCTTCTAGTTAGGTATTTATTAGCTTGAAATTGCTTGTATATTTGTATATACAAACACTCATGATCAGGCTTTGGTATGCCAATAAGGTAAACCTGTCAAGATGACGCTTCTCAACTTGTATCGATACGGACTGCTTCGTATCTTCCGAGCTCTTATCAAACCCCGCGTCGGGATTACTTGCCAACTCTATTTGCACCACCTGCCACATGACCATGGCACTATCCACAAACCCCTCAATAAACCTTCGTATTTCTGCCAACTCCTCTATATCTGCGCTTGTTCTCGTTAATATCACAAGAAAAGATCATGGGCATTATCTTGGTTACTGCTCTGGGCTTGCTACCCGTTTGGCTGATATACAGATACATCATCTATCCCGTCCTTTTCTCCGCGCTATCTCGCATACCCGCACCGCACTGGACATGCCATATCAGCCCTCTTTGGATATTATCAGCAAGGAAGTGGAGACGAGAGAATACATCACTGTATCGTGCACACCAAAGGCTTGGTCCAGTGGTTAGAATTGGTCCAAATGAAGTCAGCGTCGACGGTTTAGAAGGCATGCGAACCATATACCAAGGGGGGTTTGAGAAAGGTCACTGGTACAGCGTCTTTGATAATTATGGGTAAGAATGTCAACTTATGGTACTGAACTATTGGCAATGGAGCTAACATGGCTGCAGAGTTCCGAATATGTTTGCCACTGGCCATTCAAAGCCACATTCGTTAAGAAAGAGGATGATTTCCAACGTCTACTCCAAATCGTACATACAATCGTCTCAAGCGAGCAAATCGCAAATGGCCGAGATACTCTTCAGCCGCCTTTTGCCCGCACTTGAAGGCTCTCTTGCAGCTCCCAGCAAGTCGATATCTACAGATTACAATGATGTTGAAGTATTCAGCCTTTTTCTAGCAACGGCCATGGATCTCATCACTGCCTACATATTTGGTCTCCCTAACGCTACAAACTTTATCGCCGACGAGCCGTATCGCCGTAGCTGGCAGGATATGTATCTTGCGCGAGCTAATTATCCTTTCTGGACGCAGGAAGTTCCAAGATTGACAAACTTTTGCAAAATATGGATTCCTTGGCTTAAGCTTTATCCAGAGTGGGTTGACAAGTCCAACAAGGAACTCTCGGATTGGAACTGGAAACTTTGCGAGAAAGTCAAGGAGACGTCCAAGGAAAAGATACATCCCAGTAAGAGTCAAGACATTCGAGGTTCGGACGAGCCAGTAGTCTACAACTCACTGCTTGCTGGGATAGATCGCGACTTCAAGACCAATGGAGAAGAGAGCATTCTTTACAGCACAAGTATTCTTCAACGCGATCGGGCCATTGCGTCTGAACTTATGGATAATTCTCTGGCTGGACAGGAGACTGCTGGAATTGCCTTAACTTATGCAACATGGCATATTTCAAAGTCTCCAAGCCTTCAACGACGACTTCGTGCTGAGGTCCAGTCCCTCGAACCATCTTTGAAAATTGACCCGAAAGCTGCATCTGGTATCATGAGTACGTCGGCTTTGCCAGACCCTAAGGAAGTTGATTCTCAACCACTCTTACACGCTATTGTAACGGAGACACTGCGTCTTCATGCACCCATTCCTGGACCGCAACCACGCCAGACACCTAGTAATGGATGTAGTATAGGGGGATACTATATCCCTGGCGATGTGAGAATTGCATCACTGGCGTATACACTCCACCGGGACAAGGAAACATTCATAGAACCTGAGGAGTGGAAACCAGAGCGTTGGATGCAAGAGAAACCTGGAAAATCGTCAGAGGATAAGGCGAAGCATCGCGAGATGCAGAGACTTTTCTGGGCGTTTGGAAGTGGTGGACGGATGTGTGTCGGCTCCAACTTTGCCATGAATGAGATGAAGTTTATTTTGGCATTCATCTATGCTAACTTTGAGACGTCAATTGTTGATGATGATGGCATTGAGCAGGAAGATGCTTATACGGCGAGACCAATTGGCGAGAAGCTGGTCATCAGATTTACTCCTTTGAAGACGTGAGACGGAAGACGAATTTGGACAATCATTTATTTCGTTATATATAAACTTTTACCAATCTATACCTTTTACCTTTTCTTTTCAATACCTCATCCCACGCTAAGCTCGATCAAACAGATACAAATCACTTTTAGCCTGGCACCCCAAAAGTAGATATCGCCACCAATACCTTGTATGGTGACGAAATATCAGCTTCCAGAGATGTCCACCCCTTACAAAACATTCACATATCGCCACAGAAAGTTCATACCGCTCACCAAGCCCGTCAAGCCAGTGTACAGAATCAGAATACCATATCCACTTCCATAACCTCCAATAACTTTTCCATGCCATGGTTGACCTCGAATAAGAGAACCACTCAATGGTCCAGAAATGATGTTGCCAACTCCTCTACCCACGCAAAGGTGTCCATGCACCATCACGGGGTCAACGTGCTCGTTCTCGTCTTGAAATTTCTGCGTCACTTCTCTCATAATCCCTGGCCAGATTGAGGCCCAAGATCCCGCGAAGAGACCATACATGACGCAAAAGACGTAGAGAACAGGAAGAGATGCTGTAAGTCCCCAGACTAACAAGACAGAAATGCCCACCCCCACGGCTGATATGAGCATGCATGTCGTAACTGCAAGTTTGTCGCTAAGGGATCCCATGACCATCAGACCGATTGTCGTAGCAACATTGACCAAAATAACTGTCAGAGCTGAGAGGATAGTTGAGGTACCAAAGGTCGTTCGAGCATAAGTGGGCAGGTAGATCGTAGGGAGAAAGTAGCCTGTTGCTTCAACGACATTGACAAGTTGATGCAGAAGAAACACTCTTGAAGTGACGAAGCGCATATTTAGAGGTTTCCTATGAATAGTGGCAGAAAGTGGCAGTCTAGGCTTGATGAAATATGCAATAGGAGCCGCGGTTCCAAAAAGGATACCAGAGCATATTCTGACAGTTGTTTGAAAGCCATAGTTCTTGAGGAGAGTTTCAAGAATCAGAGGAAGTACAGCACCTCCAGCTCCAGCAGCGCTCCAAACAATGCCATAAGCAAAGCCCTTACGACGAACAAACCACTCGTCGATATAGAGAGTACAAGGACAATAAGCGAAACAGCCGCCGATTCCAAAAAGTACCCCTTGCGTTGCTATTAGCTGAGGGACGGTTGTGCAAAAGGAACTCATGACCATGGCTAGGGATGTTACGAAGAGCCCTGCATATGTGAACCAGCGGGCTTGACGAGGGTAGAAGCGGCATATAATGACCACGAATGGTGCTCCAAGATACAGCATGCCCTGCCACATGTTAGAGTTGGGAAGGGTAACATTTGCAAGTATCTTACAGTTGTTGTGGTTCCAATAGCAGCGATACTGTTTGAACCCGCGAAAGGCTCATGGTGACTGTAGTATTCTTGAAAGACGCCAAATGAGAACCCGAAGCCTGGTTCGTTTGTTAATCCGTGTTCATAAACACCAAAGATGAGAAGAGATTACCAAAAGTCACTGCTTCGACGACCCAACAAGCTGCTAAGAATAGATATGCCTTTCTCCCGCCATCAACAGGAGGCAATGAGAACTCGGCATCAGCGGCTCGAGACTCAAAGCGTCGATCGAAGTTCTGTAATTGGACTGCATCATCTGACACATTCCCATTGGGAGTAACGAGTTCAATTGAGGTCTGTGACATTGAACAGTATATTTCCTTTATGTCGATTTTGCGGTGAGATGAAGGGAACCAAAAGCAACAGCTGGAGAGAGTATTCGATATTTATACGACAACTAACAAAGTGCGCCTTCTAGTGAACGCTACGCTGCGCCTTTTGAGCCTTGATAGTGTTTATTGAATTATCTTCATTCGTTCTCTGTTGTTACTGTTCTTGTAGGGCGCAGAATGTATGCGACATCGGCTGTAGGAAAAGATGGCTGACATCAAATGATACATCGGCTGCATTATCCGGTGGTGGTTCACAATCCGAGTCACATGGATAAGCAAAATACGACCATTCCAAAGTTTGAGCTAATGCAATGGGCTTGGACTACTATTCTATAGGAAGGCGTTAACGTAATATTCTTATAAAATAGTCAAATGCGATGGTCAAATAGTTTCCAGCTTGATAACGACTACAAGATTCTACAACCAATTGCGGCTTTGATTAATCATATACTTTGGTCTCGGAAGTCGAAGCCTTGCTCTAATTTTGGAGGGGCCCAAATTGATATTCCTAGAATGAAGCACCATATTCAATTTCATCTGGAGCAGTACGTTATTATCTGTTCTATATAAATGAAATTGAAAACATTGCAGCTACTAGAATTCTATAAAATTATCCATATAGTTCACCAGCGCTGGAAGCAAACCACAAAATCACCTAAGGCACTTGGTTATTCAAACTCGGCTTTGAACTAGTACTCAACACCGAAAACCGAGCCAACCTCAAGCATACCCTTGCTGTTGCTGCGGGTGCTGCTGCTGCCCAACCAAAGCTGAACTACTCTCCATTCTATAACTCTCGTAGACCTTGCTTTGATTCTTCTGTCCCTTTCTAAGCCCCAAGTAAGGGAAGAAGAAGCAGGGATGGAGAATGGTTACAGCGCCGATAGAAATCAACATCATTGTGGCGTCGAACACGATGAATAGTGTTTCGTTTCGGAGAACATCAACACCAATATCTGGGACAGTTTCTGCGATACTAGATGCGAGTCAGCGTAGTGTAAGGAGAAGAGTGTCGATAGAATCTTACCGGTAGGCACATCGGATGATGATGCAGGTATACGCTATACCAAGCGCGTAGACAAACCACTTGACTCTTTTTGCCTCCTTTAGCGTAGCCTCCTCTCGAGCAACAGGAACTCTCCCACGAGTTGGCATGCCAGTTGTGTACATGTCAGTCGTATTTCCCATCAATGGGTCTCGTCGTTTCATTGCCTGCTTTCGGCGTCGGGCATAGACAAGCATCAAGCCACCGCAGCACAACATGTTGGCAACTTGAAATGCAACACCGCCAATGACGAGAGCCTCTCCAAGTTTCTGTGTCGTCTCAGATCCTTTGCCCATACTTTGCATAGCTGTGAGACCACCGCCAATAATTTGGATGAAAATCGAGATAAAATCGGTACCGACGAAGACGAGAGGATATAGCCTGGGCTTGAGAAGAGACCATTTTGCTCCGTACCAAACAACGAGATGCTTGAACGTCACTGATATAGCAGCAGCAACGAGAGTAGGAGCCAATAATAGTGTAAGATACTGCACAATAAAGACATTCTGTTGCCATGGATTTCTTCCCAGCCCGAAGCGTCCAACATGGCCCGCTACTTCAAAGACTGTTCCGATGCCCAGCCATATCATGTACGACCATGTTTTAGCCCGGAACCCCTGAAATATCTGTGCGAGGAAGAGGAGTGCAAAAGCGATCGCGAAGAATCCTGAAGCTGGTTCAGAGAGATAGTCTTGGTAGATGGTGTATTTGACAGGGCAACGATCCGAGACTTTATGGCAGTCGTCGTAGTTCGGTGTCCATGTTTCGTTTTTATCACCCATTGTTGCGTAGATGTCAGATCAAGTCTTTGTGAGTAGTGAGAGATGGGAGAGGATATTCAGAATCGGGAGACGGGCTGCTTATATACAAGTAAGACGACATCAAGACACTCATTAAACATAGCTCTCCGTAATCAATAGGATTGCGTGACAACCCATCCGCGCGAACATGGCCACTTAGGCATTCTTCTCCCAGCCACTCCGTCGCAGCTCGCAGATACACCCGAATTCGTTTAGATATCAGGGACTTCGAGATAACCGACTGGCAAGCACCTATCAAATTAACGTTCCACGAGCATGAGCCCCATCTTGCCGTCAGCTTCGGGGGAAATAATGCGCTGAGATTTGCATAAACAGAAGCATAAGCGCTTAGTGGGAGGATGTTTGGAATTTCAGCCTTAAGCACAGCCTCTTACATCCATACAGAGCTGAGTTGTCGTACATCCTTGTAGCGCCGTATAATCCCTTTTTGGGTAATAATACGAGCTTTAGGTGATATTCAAATTAGATGGTTCAAAATGCGATCGATTTCACGAGCACCTTAAAATCATGAACATCTTGAATTTTCATACTTGGAATGGCAGATATATCATACTAATTTCAACCTCTGAAGTCTGAACGGCACGAACCACAGCCAAAATCACACAGTGACCTGAACATTTCATTTCTCTCTTCTACATTCCCTCAGGATAATCCTTTAAATTTGTCTTATAGAATGTCAAACCGTAGTTGTGGATCTATTCAAGTAGCTACCACGAGAAACGTAGTCCCTCAAACAAACTCTAGTCTCGAATATCTTCGATTCGCTAATGATCAAATACTCAAAGATTCCTGGCACTCAACCCCAAATAAGGTCGTTACGCGAGCAGTTGCTTGGACCTTTTATCCAAGACACGGCATGATTGAACCCCAGGCACCGCCAATTTTCAGTGGCAGTGCAGAGGAATTAGTGACGAGAGCCAAGGCCGAAAGATGGAGTTTCAACCCTTGGCCTAGCGTCATGTTGATCAACATCCCCTGGCCAGCCAAGACCAAGACCACAGCCATAAAACATGAGATTACGCGGCGACGCCCAAAAAAACACCTGATCCTTCTCATCTGCAGCTTACCTACACATAATATTACTCCAGCCATGTCGAGTCCAATATGTCCTATGCCACTGGGCGAAATCGTCAGGGATATGCTGGGGAAAGAGAAGGAGACGAATGCGGTTAAGAAGCTTTATGATGATGCTTTTAGAGCGGATATTGGAAGATGGATAGCTTCGTGTGCGGTTATTGGGCTTTCGGCGGGGATAATATCTAAACATCCGGGACATAATTTACTTGCTGCATCAGCATACAATCTTGCAGTGGTAGGTTTCACTCGTTGTATGTATCTATGAATTCGCTAACTAGAAACAGGGAGCTCTTCATTTCTTTGCGTTTAAAATACCAGTCAAGCCACAAAGTCTCAACAACCCACGGCCCCCAATATGGTACATATTGATTTTGGCCCTTTCAACAGCAATGTGGCTTGCAGCTCTTACTGTCATGTTTGTTCTGCGGGAGGACATCAACGTACATGAAGAGTCAAACATGAAGAAGAGGAGGACGGGCGTTGTTGGTGATATATCTACCGGTGCAGTTGCCATGCTTGACAATCTTAGCATTGCATGTGGCTGTTTTGGCATTTGTGCATTGTAAGTGGTTCCTTTGCTGACTATGAACTCTTTTTTAACCCCTTTTAGTTTGTTTTGCGTATATCAGTGGTTTATTGTTCATTATCTTTACTCGACAAGATTCGAGAAGACTGAAATGCGAGAGGGATATAGAAAGATCAAGAAGATCGAACCTCCCAAGGATGGCCCATCAGCAGCTGTTTATAATTGATACCCGATACCCAGATAATGATGCGGTGGCTTAGCTGTTTTAATATACAATACTTGACTTCTTGCAAATAACGACAGGCAGTTGCCGCAAGGGCCGCATCTGACTTCAGCTCTAGCCACTCCAGAGTTAGCATTATTGGCAGTGACCGCAGAGAAGTTTGGGGTTATATGGCCAAGTATCAGTGTCATTTTATCTTATCGAAAGATCTAAACATGTAATGATTTCACTATGTTTTGCTGTTTACCGTCATTTTATTGTATACCGAATTAATTAGTAGAACTAAAACGAACAAAGCTACTAACCAACGAGAATCAGGAAACGGATTATTTAATTCATGTTACTGAGAACTTGTTGTGATAGTCAAGTGTCCATCTTATGAACTGTGGCGATGAAGAGGCCGGCGGGCCTATGTTGGTGGCCTCATAAGAGTTAATAGGCCAATCAATGGCTGCAGAACAATGCGCAACTAGGCATTTTGTGCTCAGGAGAGCCTTGCCGCGGCATGGTATGGTATGGTCTTTATGCTGGAGGCCGACCTCGCTGTTGGCAAACACCAACGGTTACTGGCATTTCTGCCTGTTGCTTGTTGGTCCAGCTGGTGAATGGGTACAAACTGTGGCAAAGAAATGCAGGCTTCCACGGACATATGTAACATGAAGGGCTTCTCTGACAGCATAAATACTCTTCAATTAGTGTAGGAGAGCAGTCTTACTTCCACTCCAATTGTCGCTGATCAATAGAGAATTCTTCAGCAGCCTTCAGCATGTCCTTTGACGCCGACACGTCAAGCTCTAGCCCTGGCGAGCATGCTATCTCTGGGCAAGGTCAGCAGGCGAAGACACAGCCAACCATGGAAGTCGGTACTGAAGTTGCAGAGCCTGAGGGATATGCTCAAGAAGCTATCCGTGATTACCTATTGGAGAGCGTCGAGGAGTTTCGCCGTCTCCATGCGTTGAGAAGAAAGGTATGTCTGACAAAAATCCTTCCACAATGGCAAGGGTGTTGAGCTAGAACAATGGGTGTCTGACAAATGACAGGGCTGGGACAGAACTGAAGGCGACGATCATTTCAAGAAGCAACGAGCAACCGCGGATAACTGCAACGCAAACAGTACCCAGTTCTTCTACACTATGATGAAGACTATCGCAATGGATCTCGACAAAGCAACCGGTGCTCTGAAACTGTCTAAGATCGAACAGCCGGCTTTGCTGGACATGTGTGTAGCCCCAGGCGGCTTCGTTGATGTAGCCTTGACCAAGAACCCTGGTGTTCGCATCAGAGCCATGAGTTTACCTGTTGAACAAGGCGGACACGACGTCAAGATGCTCGACGCAGGATTAAATGTGGAGTTTCGCGACATCACAACGCTGGCAGCTGATATGGGTATTACCAAAAACGATGTTCCGTTGAACTTTCCAGGACCATATGACTTCCTATTCGAAAAGGTCTTGGACGACAACGAGAAGTTTGATCTCGTCTTCTGTGATGGTCAAGTCCTGCGTACTCACCCCCGCGCAGAATGGCGAGAGCCTCGAGAAGCTACTCGTCTAACTCTCACACAGACCGCCATCGGTCTCGAACATCTAAATAATGGAGGGACAATGGTGATTCTGATGCACAAGCTTGACAGTTGGCGAAGCTTCGATTTGATCCATCAATTCAGCAAGATGGCAGCCGTTAAACTGTTTAAGCACTACAGGCACCACAAGATCAGATCTTCATTTTATCTCGTCGCCAAGAATATTCAAGCTGACAGTGCTTTTGCTAAGGAGATGGTTGCGATGTGGAAGCAGAGATACAAGATTGCAACGTTTGGGACCGATGAAGAGTACGCTGAGATGCATCGGGCAATGAGGGAGACTGCGCTGGTAGAGCTAGAGAAGTTTGGGAAGAAGTATGTTGCGATGGGGAAGAAAATATGGAAGACTCAGGCTGATGGGTTGGAGAATGCGCCCTTTTTGAAGCAACACTCGAAGGGGCAGAGGAAGCGCAGGGCAAGGGACCGAGGTGACGAGTGATGGGGGTAATACGGGACACATGCTCTGTACAGTAATTAGCAGGACCTCGTCTTTCAAGCCGTCATCAGAAGTGTTATAGAAGAGGCTTCATGCTAGGACCAGTAAAGATCCTCGTTGCATCTCCGACCGCATATAGAAGCAAGGGTGCTAGACAAGATTACCATAAAAGTACGATCAGATAAGATAATCTATTGACTGACCCAAAGATCTCGGACCCTCAGGATGATCAGTGGATGGCTAGTCCTGTGTCTCTCACCCGAGAGGCAAGGATCAGCAAAGCGACTCCGAGTTCGCCCTCGTATAGCGTTCAGCGCAGTTATTTAAACACAACTCTCACCCTCGTATATCTAATAAATAAAATATAATTACTCATACATAATTGAAATGGCCGAATATAGACATTATGCAGCCCCCCATCCCGAATGGGCCGACGTACGCTAAGTCATGTGCAAACTTCATGATATTGTTCCTGACCCCATCAGTTCCCAAACAATCTTCCCCCAGGCACAAAACCAAGCCTGGGCATGACCAGAGATCGCAATCCAATTACTCCACAAGAAGGGCTCGATATTTACGAAATAGATGTTCCTGTGCGCGATAACACGCCTACCACACTGCGCATCTACCGTCAAACTGCCAACAACGATGCCCTTCCTCTGTTTCTCTACATGCACGGCGGTGGGTATGTCACGGGCGGTCTCGAAACAGACGACGCAACATGTAGAGCACTTGCGTTAGAGATTCCCGTCGTCGTTGCAAGTGTTATGTATCGTCTTGCTCCTGAGCATAAATTCCCTGTTGGCTTTGAAGATAGCTTCGATGTCGTCCGCTGGGTAAGCTTCAGTCCTCTCAGACTCCCACCCGCTAACATTCTATGCAGGCTGCTTCGTCAGATGGCCAGAGCAAACTCAACACAGACTTGTCCAAGGGATTCATTCTTGGTGGCACCTCTGCAGGCGCAAACTTCACTGCCGGGATCTCGCACTTAGCTCGCGATGAGGACCTATCTCCAAGCATCACGGGTGTTGCCTTCCTCGCTGGGAGCTTCTGTCACCCAGACGTGAGACCTAAGAAGTATCTGGATCGTATTGTGAGCGTGGATGAGATCAATGATGCACCTGGCCTCACACGAAAGTCAATCGACTACTTTGCCGGTACAATACATTCTAACATGCTCTTAACTCAATACTGATCATGTAACAGGACTATACGGTGCTCCTCCCGAGGACAAGCGTCTATCCCCTCTTCTCTTCGGTTCCCATGCAGACATAGCAAAGAAAGCATACTTTGCAATTTGCGGTTGGGATCCGCGTCGGGATGAAGCTATTCTCCTCGACCAACTTCTCCAAGAAGCTGGGCTGTCAACCAAGTCGCACATCTACTCAGGGTTACCTCATGGCTTTTGGACGACTTGCCCTGCCTTGCCTGTTTCCAAGAGGTGGCTGCAAGATCTCCTTCAGGGAGTACGTTGGTTGTTGGAATAGAGATAAGCCGAAAATACAACGGGGATGACGGTCGGCAACGGACGAAGCACACTCAATTTGTTCCAAATCTGTTAATCAGTACCATCATACATTCTGCCCTTCCTTCACCTTCCAGTATACCCTTTGACAATTCCCAAAATCTAGTCCAATATGCTTTTCCACAATTCCCGAAACAAAGCTCATGATATCCTACATTTTCAATTCCTCCATCTCCTCAGAGAGAATGCCTTCCTCCACAACCTTGACCTTGACCTTCATTCCCCATGGCTCATCATCTCCAATCCAATTCTTCTTCTTTCCAATCTTTTCCACATCACTACCTGCATCCTTGACAGTCTCCTTTGTTCTTGCTGGGTCATCATGTGTCTTCTGTACCGAGATTGTGAGCAGAAGACCTTCCTTATTCTTTTTCTTGCCCAGAGTGTACGACCACTGAGAAGTGAACATCACGCGCGGCTTCGACTTGTGGATTTTACCAGCTGGGTAGAGCGCGGCGATGAGTTGTCCGACCCTGCCGAGGTATGATGCCCACCAGACTTCCTCGGGCGTGAGCATGTCACGAAGTGACTCGCGGAACTCTAGCTCGCGAGGAGGAAGCTCACCGCCATATCTGGATTCGAGCATCAAGGCCAACCTTGCTCGATCTTGGTGCGAAACGCCGTGGATAGCAGACATATATCCAACGCTGGTTGAGTACAACACAGTCGTCGAGGCTGTTTCCTTACTCATGAACATATGGAAATACATCGAATTAGCGAACGAGTCCACAACATGCTCGGCGAACTCCCCCGGGAATTCCTTTTTCTTAGAAGGTTTCGGGATTGCGTTCTTGAGCAATTGCTGAATGAGATGTCGCGAACCCGGGGCGTAGTAACCTGTGGCCACCTCCAGGGGAGACTGAGCTCTTATGGCTGGCGACAGCTGGCGGAACAGGAATCCCTCTCTCACGCCTCCCTGGCAGAAGTGCGCCTCTCTGATGCCTCTGGGAATGGATTCAGAGAGAACATTGACAAGGAACGCGACCGCGGGAACCTGGGATCTTCGACGATCGGAAACACGGAAAATGTTTTTCGCAGCATGAGCGACATGCTTAAGAGCCTCAGTATCCTCAAACTGTTTGCGCTTGGCAGTGTATCCATTGATAATGGAAATAGGATAATAGCTGCCATCGGTCTGGTTCAGGTACAGAAGCAAATATCCCCATCCTCGGAAACCACCTCCAGAGAGATAAATACGGTACCCGCCTTCCTTCTCAGCCTTCTCGGTCATCTCCGCAGGGATCTGCAGGTTGTTGTATGCATCCTTGAAGTTGGCAATCATTTCCTTCTCAAAAGCCTTAACAGCTGCGTCAGCCTCATCCTTCTTCTTGCCGTCACGAAGATCGTGGAGTTTCTTGGTCAAAGCAGCAGCTCCATACGGGAAACTGAAGCTTCCTTTGGGACTCGTGCGGACTTGGCCGCCTGAGCTGAGCATCCAGGTAATCTGGGTGCTGCCACCGCCCAGGTCCATCACCAGGCCTTCCATGTTAGAGAAGCCACTGGCAATACCTAGCGCGCCAATCTGACCTTCTTCTTCTTTTGGTAGAAGCTCAACTGTCAGACCGGTCTTGTCTTTGATGGCAGCCAAGAACTGCTTCGAGTTGAGGGCAGCGCGGGTGGCTTCGGTCGCGATAACGTGGATATTCTCCTTCTGACACCGGAAGTCTTCGCATATAACAACAAATCGACTCAGAACTGAAACAACAGATTCGATGACATCGTCAGGGATGGGTATCTGATCCCCAGTCTCAGGATCATATTGAGAGTCGTACAGAGAAATGGAGGCGCGATACTGGTAAATGGTCGGAAGCATACGAGCCAATGGGTTTGAAAGGTCGGAAATTGAGAGACGAATTCCATTGCTGGTGATGGCATCACTGTTAATTTCTTTGTCGCAGACGATGAATTGTCTCTATTTTCTCACCTGCCCATGTCAACAACACCGACTAGCTTACCCTCATGGCCCTGCCACGGGGGATGACCGCCCTGAAGATGCGCATACGGCGGCTGCCCATCCTCATCGTCGCTGCTCTCATGGCCAAACTCGGCAATTGGGTCAATAACTTCAAAATCGGAAAAGTCCATCACGGCTGGCTTTGTTGTGGAGGTGAGGATGCCGTTTGTCGTTGATGACGTTGGCAGGTGAGGAGCTCCCCAGTATTTAAGGTGGTCGGGGCCTCTATTTCAGGGAGCCGGGCATCAGAATGGAAGCTAACGCCCTGCGGCGGGTTTCAGCTGTGATGGGATTGCCCTGATGTACGCCAACCTTAAATGAGCTTGTCCGGAAATCGAGCCAGTTACGGTTGAGCAGCGACGCCAATCAGAGCACAAGCTACGTGATGTTATCAAGTCATTGGCCAGGGTAGACATAAGCACAAGATCGGTGACCTTATCACGACGGTTTGGGATCTGAACCATTCTTTAATCAACATCTCTAGAAACGGTGAGGCCACAAGGTTAATAGGCAGAAGAATAGGCTTTCAATCGACAATTTACGTTCAATTACCAACTATAAACAAGATCCATTGCTGAAAAGAAGCAGTACCATTATCTACAACAGGTCCAGCTATCTCGATTTCCCGCCCAGAAAAGCTCAGAAAAAACCTATGATCTCCATCCCAAGTGACAAGAATATTTAGGATAAACTTACCAGTTTCTTTGAGTATTTTATTTCCAACTGTGATTATTGTGGTCTGTAGTCCTTTTGCTCCCCAAGGGCAGCCTAGCTTACAGCTCAAAACTCCAAACGCAATACACCATGAAGAGCGTCCAGCGGCTCCATCAGAAGTGCTGTATTGTGGACGTCGACTAATTGCCCAACTTGTTCATCAAAGTATAAATACTTGTGTGTTGTATAAAGAGCTCATCGTCAGTGTAGGTTATGAATGATTCGAGGCAGCTATGGATGACCAGCCAAATACGACGAAAGTCAGCGGAGGTTACCGACGTATCTTCGGTAGAGAGTTCTTGCTGATGTGATGATTCTGGAGTGCATTCGCTAGACAGTCGAGAGTACCGAACGAGAACCTTCATCTGGTCCAAAACCACATGTAGGTGGAACTCAGCTGATGTGATCTCATCGAGGTAAGCTCTCAAGAAAAGTCGAAGGGCGTCGCGTGGGAGCTGATCCCCCAGTTTCTCGTCATAGGACTCGTCGACAACTGTACGTAGAGCCTTATGCACGGCAGAGATAAGTGCGAGAGTCGACTGCCTCAGGAGGGGATCGATCTTCTGGAAGGGAATGGGTCAATAAAAGTCCAATGTTTATGTCTAAACCAGAACATACCGTGGCTTCTTGAATCAGTTGAGTTGCTTCTTCATCGGTGACTGATGATTCAAATTCGAAGAACGCATGATCGCCAGAAGTTTGAGTCTCAATACTGTACATGCAGCCTAGGCTGTCCGATTCGTACATCATGGGGCGTCGACCAAGATTGTATCGTGGCTTCCAGGCTTCTCAAATCTCATCTTGAAGGTTTCCCATATGAGGTGGATCTTGTTTTGGAGGTCCTTTGGCTTGGTAGGGACCAGTTGATGAATAGTGGCAATCCTGGTGGCCTCGTCCTCAACCACAATCCCTTTGACTCGAGAAGTGGTTGTTTTGTCTTCGGAAACGAGGTTTCTGATCTTGTCGCCGATGTGTTTGACTCTCTGCTTCTTGTTCAGGTCATCCGTGATATCCCCCTAGAATTCAGGATAAAAGAACACTTGATCTGCTGGGACTCAGCCAGGATGAAGACGTCCAGGATCAAAGCGACATCCACGAAATAATTCGCTTGAGAGAGAATGTGTCTTGAGGAGAGACGCGCGTGGCGCCTGGGTCGCGGCCATGAACACCTCGAGCGGCCTGCCGTTGTTTCTTCAGCTTAGTATTAATCCTCTTCTCATCCACGAAAAACTTGTCGGGTGCCTTCCAAACATAAGACCGACCTCCGTATACTCTTTGGCAACATTGAGGTCTTTGGCAGCTCATCCCCAGCTGGGAGCTGGGGACACAACGCGAAGTCTGGTCCGTCAGTGGTGGGGATGTATGTGTTTGTTGTAGTCAGGTTTCGTTTGGCTTGGCTGATAGTAAATAAGTATATAAGTATATTGAAGAGCTTCTCTTTAAATAATGCATATATAAAGTATCTCAAGGTAAAGAGAGCTGGTAAATAGTAATGAAGAAGGAGAAGGAGGACGTTTCTAAAGCAGGAGAGTAGTAACATATTTATACCCTTAAGATCCTAAGAATTACGTAGAATTTTCTTCAAAGTGAATGAATGCTGCAAGCACACACTACATCAAAATATCAAACCTTTAGGGATGAAAGCTTCAAGTTTCGAGAACAATTTAATTAACAAGGAAAAGACACTCAAAGGTACAGATTCCTTAGACCGCGGCCGGTGTTTGTCTTCACATGTACCTAGGAATTGCCCAGCTTGCAGCCATGTTTGTCCACGTCGGCAGGAATAGCTTCTTGTTGCAGCTTGTTTTATCGGCATAGTGAAACGCCTTTGTTGAGTTTAGAACAATTGCTACAAGGAATAATCTAAATTGTTATTAGGCAAGCATCATGCAAGGCCACTTTATTTGACGGTGAATCACTGTCAATAGGTGTCAGGTATCATGAGGGCAAACATGTTAAGATTCCTCCTTTTTCTCTTTTGCATTTTCTTTCCCTCCTCATTATCATTTACTCCTTATTCAACTCAAGTGGATCAAGTGATGGCAAGCAACAGGATATCCTGTCCAGCAGTGTCAGCTAGTGACAAGCCGTCGAATTGAAGTCACCTACTTCAGTCATGACGAAAACCGGGCACCAAGAGACGGTTGATTCCCAATTCAATTCAACTCTGCTCTAATAATGCTACCTTTCTTTCTATCTCTTAGCTCTTGTTCAACCCATCACACCTCCTAGGTTCCCATCTCTCTCCTTTCATCAATGAGCCGCGGACATCGCCAACTTGTTTTCATTCTTCACAAACAAGTCAGTATCTTCTCTTTAGTGCGTTCGGACACTGCGCATCCTAACAATGTTCACTTGGAATTTGCTAACTTGTTAGTCAGTGCATGATGGCTAAAGACATGAGCGGCAAAATCAATGTCATTATCACTCGCATACAAGCGCTATCGACCAAAGAACAGACTTTTGACAGATATTCGACAGCCAATCCGCACCTCTTCACCGATTTCATGGAGAGTGGTGAAGGCGGTTGTGCCTCGAGAGGGCTCTGAATTGTCGACGCAACGCAATCGGCGACGTCGACATGACAGATGCTGCACAGAATCTTGAAGACGAAGATGATGAATACCTCGATGCGACTATAGATATCGATGAGGAAGACAGCGACGATGAAGATGATGAAGGTTGCGATGAAGACAACATCGTTGCTTACCCGAATAGCCTTCACGACTGCATAGTAAGTTGGACTCATGGCACCATGGATTAACTCAACGACTAACTGAGAGTTCGCGATAGGTCGCCAAACATGGTGCGCCGTACATAGGCTACATACCCGGACTGAAGCCTGGTCATGCCCTCTTCGAACGCCAGCAACACGCCGTGAGAGCCGCTATGCAGTCACTTGCTGGCCCATTCAAGGGCATGATCCTGGGAGATCCTCCGGGACTCAGAAAGACCTTGGTAGCGCTCGCAGTGGCTACCTCGTCTGGAAGTCCGGCGATGCCCCGTCGCCCATTGTTGCACCTCTGTCATGTTGACGCCAGCGGGTGGCTGAACTTGATGTGTTCTTTCAAGGCGCAAGATAGATCACAAGGCCAACAAATATCAGTCAAGGGCATCGGCGACTGTCATGGTAAGGGTGAGACACGACTATAAGCCTGCCGTCTGCCTTCTGGGAGAATGTATTTCCCCCTTCGACCTGTGGAAGTACAGGATCACGGTTACCTCTTACTCACATCTCACTACAGAGGTGAATCGTGTCGCAAGGTTCCAGGACGCCGTCGAAGATTACAAGGCAGGGCTGACGGCCGTCTTCCCAAAGAGACCCAAGCTGGTCTTCCTTTCTGGTAGTCTTGAGTCGGGCCCATGTAAACCGATGGGGAAATGCATGATCCTTGACGAGGCTCATGTCATCAGGAACCGCAACACACGCACCTTTGCTGCCGTAACGCCACTCCACGAACAATTCGAAGATTGCATGGCCTTGACGTGAACGCCGTTAGACAGCACATGGGGTGATGGCTATGCCCTCCTGAGTCTACTGAAAGGGCATCCTATGACCAGCTTCCAGGGATTCCAGAAGATCTTTGGAGAAAGTGGCGGAAAAAGCCTTCGGTTTCCTACAGGGAAGTACCTCATCCGGTACATTCAGGTGCTCGACGCAGCCAGCTACATGAAACCAATATCCACTATTCAAGATTGCCTTCCACCCAGGACTGACATTGTGCGACACTTCGCTCTCGACTCAGACGACAGAAAAAAGCCCAATCATGCTTTTATGGAATTCAAACAACTGATCTTGCCAAGGAGGATGAACAACAAATCACAAAGCAAGAAGTCGCGAGGCAAAGCCCCGCGACACATGAAGAAGGACGATGCTGCAGGTTGGGCACACCTCATCGAAGCTCAACAATACGCATACCATCCCATGCTGGTAGAGCTCAAGCTAGCGCACAAAGGTCTGATGGAAAGCGTGAGACACGAGGACACCGACGGCGCTCTTCCTGATGACGCTGACGGCCAAGCTCTTGCACAGGCCGCCGAGTGGTGTGAATTGTTAGAGCAGGGTCGCAACTCGCATTCACGACGTGTCAAGATGGTACTTGGTACCGTAAGACAACAGATTGATACATGGCCAAACGACTCGTTTATTATTGTCGATGAAAGGTTCTGATTCTTAGACATCGTTGCAGTTGCGCTCAGGAAGAGCTATCATCCTGTTGACCATGATACATACAATGGACGACTCGATACAGACCAACGCCAGCCGGTCATCAAGAAGGTATCCCAACCTGTGCTTCCGCATGCCCTACTTGTCAGTCGGGGTACTGGTGGTCAAGGCCTCAACGTGCAGTTTGCAAACGTCGTCATTCGATGCGGGCCTTGGTGGAAGAACGCGTGGGAAGAGCAAGCAGCTGGACGAGTTCATCGACCAGGACAGCGGAAGCTCACCTTCGTTTACGAACTCAGAGCCCAGGACTGCGCCGTGGAGAAGAACGAGATGGGGGTACAAGACAAGAACAGGGTCAACACTCGTATCCTTTCTGCCATCACTAGAGACGGCGATGGTGAGCCTCATCAACGAGGCACTCCACTGCTTGGGCTGGATCAGGGCGAGGATTAGAACCGAGGGCCTGGACGAACCGTAAAGCTCATAAGAAGCATGCTATCAATACATGATGTGGTTGTGCGGGACAAAGGGTGGTGATGGTAAAGTTTTAGGGTATTTTATCCTAAAGAAGGCCTAAACTATGACAATCACTCATAACGCCTTCAGTTCATCCTTTCATGAGACAATACTTCGTCGCCAGGTTTCCGAGCCCGTTCATTTCATCTATCATATAGCCTATATATACATTCCTTTACTTACCTTTTGAGAGCTCAAAGAAGTAAGAACCTGCGGCGACCTGCGCCATGAGGTCCTTCTATCGTCTAGGTGACCCAAGCCTAGACAAGCAATGCTTCTCGACCCAGTCATACATCTTGTCCTGGAAACCTTCATGCTCCGCGACAACAGGTGACGCATCAGCATAAGGATCCTCTTCCATAACTTCAGCGATTCTCTTCGTCGTGCCAGAAGGAACAACTTCCTGCATCTCCAAATCCCAGAGCACATTAACAACCCATCGTTGACAAAACCCACCTGGAATTCTTCTCGCAGAAGCCTTTACCTTTCGTCCATGTCGAGCTGAAATTTCAGCGACGTAAAAGCGGCTGTCAACTTCCCAGCTGTTGAGTCGTCCATTTTCAATTACGACTTCCCAGCGTCTGCGTTTCGTAGGACCACCCGAGGAGTGGTACCAGGTTGCGTACTCGGCGTCGCGCTCTGCGAGCATGAGAATCCAGTGGCTTGGACCATATTCCATAGTTGGTGTGCAAACGCCGATGGTTAGCTGTTGAACGTCAGAGTGAGATCCGCGACGGGCAGAGAGTCTTCGGAAAGACATTTTATGTTTTGTGTAATAGGAAATGAGATCGACGAGTGGGATGCTTGCAAGTGATATCGTCGGATCGAAATGAGACTGATCTGAGGATGATGAGAGAAGAGAAGTTCAGTGAATGAGGGCTCAATTTAAATATGTCATGTCTAGTTATTTGTCGGATTTTCTTTATCTTGAACAATGATAATGCATCCTCGAAACTCGAGATCACTGAACAGATGATATTGTCCAGCCTTGTTCATTGTTCCTGCACTCATGCCAAATCTGAACACTCGTCAAGGACTTACCAGTAACACATCTCTGATTTTTATATCATTACTTGTGTTTTATTGCTTTGGTGCGAACACAAAGGTCCTGAAATGACTTGGGCATACAGTGGCGATGCCCTCGAAAGACAGCATTTTAGGTACAGTATCCATCATCTCGGTATGGATGTCTCCGGCGATTTATCACTGAACTTTCATTCCCTTTTTCGATAGTTCGGTATTATTCAGGTGACTTGAGGGGTGGTATAATGAAACTTCATTTCATCATCGCCAGTTTGCGTCTGTGATTAAGCCTCGCACGATAATTACTTGACGGCAATCTTGTGTTACACGAACTCAATGATCAGATCAAGTGCATGAACAGACCTCAAATACCATTTGCTATGTACTAATGCTGCATTTTTCGTTGACCAAATGATGTTATTCCCGACTAAGCACTCGTGCTCAATAAAGGGCGTCTTGACAATCCACTAGTTTTCTCTTTTCTTTAGACAGAGTGGACACAAACTCAATCTCAATCTCAATCTCAACCACAACCACCAACATAAAAATGCCGTCCAAAATCCTCATTCTTGACGGTGGTCTCGGTACCTCTCTCGAGTCCAAATACTCTATTACTTTCTCCCGTTCAACGCCCCTCTGGTCCTCTCATCTGCTTGTTTCTGACCAATCTACCCTCCAATCATGTCAGAGCGATTTCGGAGCTGTCCCAGTTGACGTGCTCCTCACAGCGACATATCAGGTTTCGCTTCATGGTTTCGCCGACACTCGCACTGAGGATTTCCCTGAGGGTATTCCTCGCGAATCTGTTCCACGGTTCTTAGATGATGCTGTTAGTATTGCTCAGCGTGCTGTGGGGGATAAGGGCTGTGTTGCTTTGAGCATTGGACCTTATGGAGCTTGCATGATTCCAGGTCAGGAGTATAGCGGGAAATACGATGCTGAGCACAACTCCTTAGCTGATTTGGAAGCATGGCACCGTGAGCGCTTGGGAGTCTTCGCTGGGGTTTCTGATATACAGAAGCGAGTGCGTTATGTTGCCCTTGAGACTATTCCCCGCGTTGACGAGATCATCGCCATGCGCAAAGCTCTCGCTGCCACAGCAAAACTGTCGGATCTTCCTTACTGGACAGCATGTCTCTCACCTGAGAAAGACCTCAAAATGCCTGACGGCAACTCCATCGAGGCCGCTGTGGAGGCCATGCTGGATCCTGAAGTATCATCGAAGTTACCGTGGGGTATTGGTATCAACTGCACCAAGGTCGACAAGCTTGACCAGCTCCTTCAAATCTTCGAGCGCACTGTCTCAGGTATGATCGAGAAGGGCAAGATTACTGAGTGGCCTGCTCTGGTGCTGTATCCTGATGGTACAAATGGAGAGGTTTACAACACAACCACACAAAAATGGGAGATGCCAGACGGTGTTGAGACTCATAGGCGCTCATCTTGGGAACACCAACTCGAGACAGTCGTGAAGGCTACGGAAAACAGAGGGAAATGGCCTGCCATCTTGGTCGGTGGATGTTGTAGGGCCGGAAGCGAAGATATCAAGAAACTTCGCGATTGTCTCGTGAAATAGAGGCTTCCATCAATACCCAAATCACAAAGCTAGGAATAAAAACTAAGGTAGATTACATGTCTAACAAAGCAAGATACAAAAGACCTTGACCAGAAGGAGGCCAGGGGAGGGGGCAAGAAAAGTTAGGACCTCTATCCTAAGTGATAAAAAGATTTAGGTGAATTTAGGTAAACTTAGGTAAATCTAGTATAGCCTTAGTGGGCCTTTAGATTAGTTATATCCAGCACCTTGGCTTAATGTGAAGTTTTCTTGCTCCCTAAGGACAGGCTATGAATCAGAGCATCAGACGATATACGTGACAGACCAGGACACGGGCAGCATGGTATTACGTTTTCGTCTGAACTTTTGGCTTATATTACCCCTCATTAATCTCGTGCTCCGATTGCTATTTCTTCTTCACATCTACACATGACCCTTTCGTCAATCCGGGTCTTCGTTCCTTTCACAAGGCCACTTCAAGCAGTGCGAAACCTTTCACTTGATAATCCTAGCCTTTTCCAATCTCATCAAGGCTCATTATCCAATTTTCTCGCCCGTATCTGACCTTTTTGCAGGGGTGTAGGCGCATCATTCTCCGCACAGGAGAAGGCATGAACACCAAACTCCATACCTAAAAGGCAGCAAAACGGACAACATGGATCTCAATCACAGCGTAAGTGCTCTCAACTATCTTGACCCGATGTGGCTTCTCTAATATTACGATGCAGCCGCCTCGGAAGAGATCCAAGTCTTTTCATGCCATTTCTCGGGACACTGCCCAGTTCACTCATCCAGTGCATACGGACACTATCCCCATGGATATCGATCACCTAAACGAGGAGCCCCGAGATTCTACTACTTTGGCGGCATCTTCTGGCACTACAACAGCACACGCGGACATATTTCATCATGAAGAGAGCCATGTCTTGCCCGAAGAACGCAGGTCCGAGACCTACGCTCGTTCGATCATACCGGCTCCAAACCCTAAAGACACTGCCACCTTATTCGCTTACCGCATGCCTAAGTATGTCGATGCTTCATTTCATCATCATATAATGGGCATGGAAAAGAACATAAGCCAGCCCTCTTTGGCTCGAACTGCCTCAAAAACGCTCTTCGTGTTCTCATCGAGCGAGTCTGTCGAAGAACTCGCAGTTTGTTGTGCCGCGTACTTCTACGTCAACAAATCTCAGATGCCCCGAATTCACGCGAGAGCTATCATGCTCTTGGAAGAAGACAGATTGATCAAATCAAGTGCTCTCAACAACTGGGAGATGATACAGTATGCTCATGGTGGCAACACCACCGTGGAATACCACGTACACTTTTAGGTGAAGGAACTGGTAGAGCTTACGAACGAGATGAAACTTGAAGTACAGATGTGTCTTCCCTGGAGAGACTTCACCAAGCTTGCAGAAGTCACTGCTCCCTTGCGAGATGCTGGCTTCGAACTGTCGGTTACTTTTGACGAGGAGCAGTGGATGGGAATACCTTCGCAGTATCGAGACTTCCACAAGGCACTGACCATCAAATCCATCACTGGAGGCGAGCTGGACGACGCCAATCTTCGTTTCCAGCAACTGATGCCACAGTTTATTGCTGATGACTTGACTGCTCATGGTACCCGCGGATTCCGTCCCAACAGAAGGCGATGGCATTCTCTCTCTCAAAACACACCATGAGTCTATCAATAGGGTGTCGGCTCGCGAACGGGGGGGTAATTTCTGGTGGTATTCTACTACGTTTCCGGCGGAGTACTTACATGAAAATACTGCAAACGATTTCAGGTGGAATAAAAATACTCCTTCAATTAACTCCATGCTATGGTGCTATACATGTATCCGAGCCTCTGTGCCTCGCTTTGTATCCAACTTCAACTACTCAAGCCTTGTTCACGGCCAGTATCCCAACTTACTGATATCAGCGCTTAACTCTCTTCCCTGCATCATCTCAGCCATAACCTTCGCTGTACCCAACGACAGACTGATCCCCCATGGTCCATGCCCTGTCGCTACATAGACACCACCATCGCTTCCTTTCCGTGTCCTGTAGCCCTGCCGTAGATCTACATCCTCTACCCGCGTGATATAAGGTGTTCCTCGTTCTGAAACAGGCCTAAAGCATAAGCCTGTCCGTATAACTTCCAGCTCATCACCCTCGGTTCTGATAATCCGCATTGCCAGATCCTTCAACTTCTCCAGTGAGGCATCCATAGGTTTTGCACCCGTTGCTAACGGTGGTAGGCAGAGAGATGCGTTCATGCCACCGAGCCAGATATGTCCATTTGGTCGAGCATAAATCTCAGGTGAGAAGTCGTCCATGCTTGTATACACAGAATGAAACGTATCGCCAATATCTATGGGATTCCGTACCACGAGTGAGTGTCCTGCCAGAGACACAACGGGTATGTTGATAGATGATCCGGGAAACATGGACTCTAAAACACTCGGTGTCCATGCCCCAGCGCAGACAAGTATTCGTGTAGCTGGGATATGTGTCTCTGAGGAGCAGTCTGTATAACCGATACGGACATATGACAACTCATCATGGCAGTCGGCGCCTACATTTAGAACAACGGCAGGGTTATGTATCCGTACACCTGCTGCTCGACACCTTTCAAGGAGGAAATGACAAAGTTTTAGGGGATCTCTACAAACATGGTTTGTTAGAACATATCGGTCCCAAATGATAGTGACTTACAGAACAGCTGTCCCTTCACCATTATCAACCAAGCTGAGAGCATCGCCCTTGACACGCCTTAACCAAGGCGGACTATTCCTATCCTTGACCTCCCCTCGCTCCTCTATCACATCCGCACGACTTCCCCCCTCACGTAACCAATCCTGGCCCGTCGAACCCTTGGGTTTCCTTCTCGGTAGCTCATAATTCACAGTCACGGACTTGGCATAAAGCCATTTCTCCCTCCCATTGAACTGCTTTGCCAATTTCTCATGCTCATCAAAACTCAGGGCCCCTAAAGATGCAAGATCTTCGTGGAACCAGTCCCTCGCAAGAAATCCACCCGCGTAGCCAGATGCCGAGGCGAATAGCGTTGCCGACGAGTCAACAAGGTGGATGCTTGAACCTGGTTGATGTTCGGAGAGGTAATAAGCTGTCGTGATGCCGATTATGCCACCTCCAACAATTACCGTCGAGGCCATTGGAAGAAATATTAAGATTATAAAAATGTATTGTATATTTGATAAAACGGAACAAGACCTCAGCTGATGCAGGTGAACTATTACCAAGAAAGCAACCGATGACGTGAGTGACGATGATACAGGGTAGACAGGATTGAAGCTCCAAAATTGACCCCACCATACCATCACTCATCTCCAAGAAACCCCCACTCTCTTGAGCTTCAAAAGGTGCCAAGTTACAGAACTTCACCTCCAACTTTAACAATATCAGTTACACGACATATTCTTCAACATGAGCTCCAAAGTATTCATTATTACTGGTGCCAGTAAGGGCATTGGTGCTGCCATTACCCGTTACCTGCTTAATCAATCCCACAAAGTTGTTATTACGGCTCGATCATCTGAACCATTGGAGGGATTGAAGAAATCGCACCCTGAACAGGTCCAATTCATTGCTGGAGATATTGTTGAACCTCAGGTATGTGACACAGTTGAAAACTCTCGTGAGTGATGAGGCTGATACATGCTGTCTAGCTGCCTTCGAAGCTGGTTGACCTTGCTGTGTCCTCGTTCGGCAAGGTTGATGGTCTGGTGATCAATCATGGCATGTTGGCGCCCAAGAAGTTTGCAGACACCACGGTTGAAGAGTGGAAGAAGATTTATGACATTAACGTCTTCAGCGGTATTGCCTTGGTGAGGAGATCCTGACCCAGGCCTTCTACGAGTTCAACAACACTGACAAGACTAGGTCCAAGCTGCGATCAATGAGTTACGTAAGTCCAAAGGCTGCATTGTCTGGGTGTCATCAGGAGCAGCAGCCAAGCAATATGCTGCCTGGTCAAGTTACGGTTCATCAAAGGCTGTCTACAATTCTGTTTCGGCTCATATTGCGCTTGAAGAGCCTGATATCACAAGTGTTGCCATTGCACCAGGTCGAGTTGATACCGAGATGCAAGGCGTGCTGCGATCGGAAGGCCAATCATCTATGAACAAGGCACAATACGACTCTTTCGTCGAGGCCAAAGAAAAGGGCATTCTACTCAAACCCGAGCAGCCAGGAAATGTTATGGCCAAGTTTGTCGCAGACCCGCTCAAAGAGCTGAGCGGCAAATTCTTCTCGTACGTGTCATGACATAGTGTGGTATCAAAGACTAACGATTATGCAGATGGAACTCACCAGAGGTCGAGGCATACCAAGAATAGGGTTAAGCTTGGGGATGTTGGAAGAATCTGGATATCTCAAGCAATGTTAGCTTTATGCCTTTACATATGATTTAAAGAGATAAAAGATAGAAAGACAAATGCAAGTCAGTCGAAAGATGAAAAGCTCTTAGTTTGCTCCACATGGACATTCGGATTTAGCATGGAATGTAAGTTTCTTCATCATAGCATTTGATGTTGCGGGTAGAAAGAAATAGAAAATTTGTTCTTACCTGATGCTGATTTGTCGCATGTAACCGAGTTCAAAGACGTGATGTTCGAAGCAGCTGCCTTGTCGCATGTTAGTTCCATGTTCCAACATGTTGTCCAAAGCAAGCGTGCAGTCGAATGCGCTCAGGCTATCGTTTTTATCCGTCATGAGAGTCGGTATTTGATAGTACCAGATAGCAAAGTGCATCACGGCGTATCGGAGGGGTGTAAAGATGCTGAAGGGAGTCTTACAGCATGGGTCAAAGAGTGCAGCCTAAACTTTGAGTTGGTTAGCCCTTGGTCGGGTAGGATGGCTCAAGCTTTGAAACAAAGACGATTGGGATCAATCAGTTCTGTCCATTTGGCACAGGACGAAGTCAATCAGCACAGGAGGCTTGTCGAACCTCCTCAGCCTGGGGCGACAACATATCTCTTCATGCGAGGTGGTGTAGAGAGGAACAAGAGAGACTTACCCAAAGAATTGGCAGCTGCACTCAAGTGGAAGTAATGCACAAAGCGAGTACTTTCGAGGTATAGCAAGTTGGCAGACGCTACTCGCGCCGCCATGATAAAGCCGTTGCTCGATCTGAGCGTTGTGGCATGTTTGTAGAGAATAAAGAGAGGAGAGGAATGTGTTGATGAAGGAATAGGAAATTTTCAAAAGATGGAAGTTCTGAAATAGCTGCACAACTGGTCCGTGCACGACAAAACGACGCGCCCCGTGTGGCTGGAAATGGAGACAGCCTGAACTGGACCTCCAATTACAGTCCAATTACAGTAGCCTTGGGACCTGAGGCTCCTCCACTGGTGCTCGAGGCACTGCCATGAATGAATTCCACTGAGCAAATGAAATTCCAGGTGGAGACTTGGCCACAAGCGCGGCGCAAAAAAAAAACAGCAGCAGCTCTTCAGATACAAAAGAGGCTTGCCCCACCACTCATGGGCCTGAGTCACCATCCCATCCGTCTCGTCTCCTTCAGCTCAGTTCAGTTCAGCCTGACAAGCAAAAGTGAAGCTCATCATCAAGATCCAATATAAAACAACGGCATTCAAACAACAGTGAAACATACAAGCTTCTCAACGGATACATACATCATTAGAAGATATTGTTTCTCTTCTCTTCTCTTTTTATTACATTTTTTGTTTGCTGAGACTTTGTCTTCGCGTTGCACTCGGCCAGCCACCGTCTCTGAATAACCGCGTCTTTGGTGTATACTCGTTTATACCCCCAAAATACGCAGTCAACCGCAAACACCTTTCACCACCATCCTGATTCACAGATTTTGCTTCTTCAACAAGATGTCTGATCACGAGTTTGGAGGCAAGACTTTTATTTATTTTATTCATTTGTTCGTTTGTTCTTGTGTTTCTTGCTCGTCTCGTTTATACGCATCTGCCGTCTTAGTTCTCAACCCGTGATGGCCATCACGGCAATGCATCACTGTCGGGTGGAAGGCACAACATTGTGAATAACATTCATTCAGCTTTTATTTATATTGGCTTATATTGAAAAGTTTCTCATCATGTTCAATATCTTGAAACCCTTTTCATCACTATCGACACGTTCCCAACATAGCACACTGTCGTATCTACTTTTCATCTCAATCTTCACTATCTCAAATACTCTACCCATTTCATATTTCTTTTTACAATTTGTTTCCCGCGATGCCTTTACCAGCGTCAACTAGGTACTGGCTCAGATACGACAGTGGAACACTTGGTCTGCTCTTCGTGTCTGCTTTAAGACCCTGGGCTAACAGGTTTGTCTTATAGGTAACGACGATTTGTCGCTCCCGAAAGGTATGTCACCATGATCCTCCTATTGAAAACATTCACTAACATGGTTACAGCTACTGTTCAAAAGATTGTGTCCGAAATTCTTCCACCATCAGCAGGCGTGGCGTTCGCTAAAGAAGCTCGCGATCTCCTAATTGAATGTTGTGTCGAGTTCATCACCCTTATTTCATCAGAGGCGAACGAGATCTCTGAGAAGGAGGCAAAGAAGACTATCGCCTGCGATCACATCACGAAAGCTCTTGAGCAACTAGGGTTCACTGACATGGTCCCTGCTGTTCTCGAAGCAGCAGCTGAGCACAAGGAAGTCCAAAAGGTAAGCCCACAGTTGCCCCTCTGCATATTCGGCACAGACTAACAATGGCCAGGGTCGAGAGAAGAAGGCAGACAAGTTCGCCAACAGTGGCATGTCCATGGAGGAGCTCGCTCGTCTACAGGAGGAGCAGTTCGCAGCTGCTCGAGAGCGTCACGGTTAAGGGAAGCGGCCTAGACTGGATCATGGCGAATGACGGAAACGGGCGTAAGGGAATTTTTAGCATTGCTAGGCGTTGATGTGCAGAATTGGACTGGGATTGGACTGGACCTGAAATTTGTCATGGGAAGCGGGCGGATCGGCTTGCTCGTTATCACTTTCGCTTATAGACCTTTGACGAGGCGATTGCCGTCAGGGAGGGATTGTCTGAATTCATCTTATTCAAATTTAAACCTTGAATGTTTTCAAGCCTGGAGTGCGGGTGCCTTGTGGTGGCCCGGTTATGATGAGCGGCTATGCAGGACATGACCATCAGCCATAGCATAATTATTGCAGTATGATTAGAGTTCCAAAGAGTCAGTCATACCGGGATTGTGTAAAGTATCCGAACTTATACATAACTTGTCCAGTCCATTCTGAAATCTTCTCGAGCCCTACGGACCTTAACTGGCTCTAGGTTGTATGTGAAGCGCATATAGACGCCTTGGCGTTTATTCAGATGGCTGCGTCGATGATGACGTGTGTTAACATGGGCATCCTATCAGAAAATCGTATTAGCAATGACATCTTGTCTAGGACTCGATCATTGTCTAGGCTCCGATTCATTTCTTTGTTGCCTTGCAGTATGTATTTCACTTATAGCCTTATCGATAAGACCGCAAGTAAAAAATGATGTAAATCAGAACATCCCCCACCTTGACGCCGCCTACTCCCACCCTGCAATCTGCATGCATGCGCAATCAACATCAGTAGAGGAAGCAGCATTATTTTTGCTTTCATTGTCGTCAAAATAGGTCGAAGACGAAAAAACAAGAATAAGCCTGGACCGCGCGGCCCTCGCTGGTTTTCTCGCAAAATGGGCCAGGAAGAGTCCTCTATGAGTTATGGCGGCCCGCCCACAACACTCACTGAGCGGAGCCTTGATGCTGTCGCGGAGTATATCAAGACGGGTCGGAGCAAGCGAATTGTCGTCTTGACTGGCGCTGGTATCTCCACTGCTGCTGGAAGTGAGTAATTGAACTTATAGCAAACTTCAAACATATCTGATAAGGTTAATTAGTTCCCGACTTTCGATCGCCCGGAACAGGTCTTTATGCCAACCTTGCCCGTCTCAATCTGCCGTACGCCGAGGCCGTTTTCGACATCTCTTACTTTCGCAATCACCCCGAGCCCTTCTACGTCCTAGCGAACGAACTCTATCCAGGGAAATTCTCTCCGACCGTCTCCCATGCCTTCATCGCCCTCCTCGCCCGTAAGGGACTTCTCCAGATGCTCTTCACACAGAACATCGATTGCCTTGAGCGCGTAGCTGGAGTACCTTCGGACAAGATCATTGAAGCTCATGGAAGCTTTGCGACACAGCGCTGCATCGAATGCAAGGAGGAGTACCCGGATGAGAAGATGAAGGAGCACGTCTTTGGAGGCAAAGTTCCTTATTGCGACAAGGAGGGGTGT